ATCAATGACTGGTACCAGCATTTAAAATGTCATGCCGTATTAATTTAATTCTGTTCAATGTAACTCATGGTTGTATCGACAATCTGTGGACATAAAATGTGTGGTAAACTGACCGATATTATTAAATATTGATTCCCATTTTTATATTGATAAAATAATGGAAGTATTAATACCAAATACCACGGGTATTTGTGGATATGAAATACGTGGTAAACTGCCCAATTGTAATTAATTTCGGATTCGTATTTACAAAATAATAAAACTATCACAATTCTAAAATGCAACGGCGATCTGTGGCCTTAAAATGTGTGGTAAACTTCCGGATTTACCAACATTTCAGTTATGATAATAGAATTAAATTAACACGGTCAGGCATTTTAAATAGTGGTATCGGTAATGGATTCGAATATTTTGCGCAGCACAAAATCATCCTAGTAAAAAGTCCATACTTTCAAATACAAACTGATGGCAACCATTATCCAAATTAGTTCCCAAGAGCGGGATAACGTATAAATTCTTTTTCCGTCTTGTGACAATTTTTCGTGAGTACGAAAATAAGAATCAAAAACTAATTATATTCGGCACAATATCACGGCAATCTGTGGACATAAATTGTGTGGCAAACTCGCATTTAATATTAATTTTTGATTCCTATTTTCGTATTTACAAAATACAACGGCGATCTGTGGACTTGGAATGTGTGGTAAACTACCCAATTATAAATAGTTTTTGATTCCTATTTTCATATTTATAAAATAATAAAAGTATTATTACTCAAACATACAACAGCGATCTGCGGACTTAAAATGTATGGTAAAGTTCCCGAATATAATTAATTTTTGATTCGTATTTTTGTACTCACGAAAAAGTTGTCACAAGTCGTAAAAATAACTCATACTTTATCCCACTTTTTGGCAAATAATTTGGATGATGGTTGATATTTAAAAGTATGGGCGTTTTACTAGGATGATTTTGTGTTACGCAAATATTCAAATCCATCATCGATACCACTATTGCCGTATTAATTTAATTCTGTTAACATAACTCGTGGTATATAAAATATATACTGCAATAATCTGCAAATATGAAATGCCTGGTAATATAGCTAAGTTGTAACTTGTAGATAGCAGTTATTCCATTGCTTATTATATGGAAATTCCTACATACATTTAGATAAGCTTCAATTAGAGGATTTTATTTTCGAAGTATTCGAAATTTCATATTCGAAAAAAATTATTTCGAATGTATTCGAAATACTGAACTATTCGGTATTGGCCATCCCTGCCTATATGGAGAAACCCTTTTTGGAGTGCTAAAAATAGACATCGTCCTATTTGCCATGTGGACTTATTAGCCGGAAAATACAGTATTTATAGCAGTCATTGTTACGATATCCAATAAAGTGTCACAAGTTGGAAAAACAAGTCGGTTTATTAGAAAATAATTTCTGATAACGATAGTTAAAAGTATCGATCCTTTACCAGGATGATTTTTTGTTGCGCAAAATAATCCTATCCATGACTGGTACCAGCATTTAAAATGTCATGCCGTATTAATTTAATTCTGTTCAATGTAACTCATGGTTGTATCGACAATCTGTGGACATAAAATGTGTGGTAAACTGACCGATTTTATTTAAAATTTAATTCATATTTTATATTGATAAAATAATGAAAGTATTAATACCAAATTCCACGGGTATTTGTGGACATGAAATACGTGGTAAACTGCCCAATTATAATTTCGGATTCCTATTTACAAAATAATTAAACTATTATAATTCTAAAATGCAACGGCGATCTTTGATCTTAAAATGTGTGGTAAACTGCCCGATTTACCAACATTTGAGTTATGATAATAGAATTAAATTAACACGGTAAGGGGGGTATCGGTCATGGATTCGAATATTTTGCGCAGCACAAAATCATCCTAGTAAAAAGTCCATACTTTTGAATACAAACCAATGGCAACCATTATCCAAATTAGTTCCCAAGAGCGGGATAAAATATAAATTCTTTCTCTGACGTGTGACAATTATTCGCGAGTACCAAAATAAGAATAAAAAAACTAATTTTACTCGGCACAATATCACCGCAATCTGTGGACATAAATTGTGTGGCAAACTCGCGATTAATAGTAATTTTTGATTCCTATTTCCGTATTCACAAAATACAACGGCGATCTGTGGACTTGGAATGTGTGGTAAACTACCCGATTATAAATAATTTTTGATTCCTATTTTCATATTTATAAAATATTAAAAGTATTATTACTCAAACATACAACGGCGATCTTCGGACCTCAAATGTGTTGTAAAGTTCCCGAATATAAATAATTTTTGATTCGTATTTTTGTACTCGCGAAAAAATTGTCACAAGTCGGAAAAATAACTCATACTTTATCCCGCTTTTTGGCAAATAATTTTGATAATGGTTGGTATTTGAAAGTATGGGCGTTTTACTAGGATGATTTTGTGTTGCGCAAATATTCAAATCCATCATCGATACCACTATTGCCGTATTAATTTAATTCTGGTGACATGACTCATGGTATATAAAATATATACTGCAATAATCTGCGAATATGAAATGCCTGGTAATATAGCTAGGTTGTAACTTGTAGATAGCTGTTATTCCATTGATTATTGTATGGAAATTCCTACATACATTTAGATAAGCTTCAATTAATGGATTTTATTTTCGAAGTATTCGAAATTTCATATTCGGAAAAAATAATTTCGAATGTATTCGAAATAGTGAACTATTCGGTTTTGGCCATCCTTTTATATATATAAGCCATATGCGATTGTTTTTACTATCGGAAGCAAAGCTCGTTGGTGAAGGTTTTTTGGACAACTTCTCACTGATATCGTGATGCAAATAGGAAAATGGCAAAACGCTGGTTACAGTATATGCAGAATTTTTACTATGTCATTTGAAACCTGTATCTTCTACAATATTAAAGAATACATAACAGCAGGATTATGTGAATTTGCGTTCGCGCTAAATTTGAAGTTCTCGCTAAAATTGAACGTGAAAGGTTTCCATCAGTCTCCACTCCATCAATCAACAGCCTTGCAGTTTAAATTGCATGGGTGTGTAATACAAGCCAGTGGCATACAACAAATTTCCCAGCGATCTATAATAGGGGTGTGCAACCTTTAACACAGGAGAGCCGGATACAAATAACTGGGTGAAACCGCGGGCCGCACCTTTATTTAACATAGGCTTTCTAGTAGTTACAGGCACAAAAATTTTGGTTATTGATCTTATGACATGCGTTGTTCGCCTCCAACAAGCTAGCTGATGATGCATTGTGACGCATAATGCATTTATATTAAATTGGACTCGGGTATCGGCTTTGCAACGCAATAGGATTGGAATTATTCGCAAATACCAGATTAAATTAAAACTAGTTTCGCGGGCCGCAAACCGTTCGAAATTGGCACTTCTCCGCGGGCAGCACGATTTTCCTTGTGGTCTGCGGGCCGCAGGTTGCAGACGGCTGATCTATAACATTCAAATCACCGACTTGCCTGTGCTAAATTTCGCTTTTAAAATGATGAATGAATGGATTAAAAATGCCTTCACTTCTCTCCTCACTTTAAGATTCAAGCTTGATATCAGCAGGGCAAACATGATATCCCACCGTTATACTGCTTTATGTGAAATAATTGTGGAAATAGGACTGAGATTATTCTATCGGACAGAAGGTCTATGTTCGGAAAGCATGCAGCATTGGTATAAGTGTATATAGTCAGTAAAAATTCTGATTTTTCTTTATTCCGAGAATGATGATTTAAGAAATACGTGCCAGACGTTTGAAATGGTCACAAATGTAAACATGGTTTTGCTCCCACTCCCCTCCTCAATAAGTAATCCCGGGCAAACGAATGCAAAAAAAACAAAGTTTTGAAACGAGTAAGGTAATCACACGATCTGAAGTTTCATCGCATACCGGTTGTGGAATTATGCAACGTATTTCCGTCTGTCCCGGGCAGACGAATGCAAGCAAACAATGTTTCAAAACAAGTGCGGTAATCACACGATCTGAAGTTCAATCACAGATCAGTTAGGCTACAGCATTATGAAACGTATTTTTTGTCTGTCCTCTTTATGCCCGTCTATCCAAAAGTATCGGAACACTTGGACTTATCAGGAATACACAGTGGGAGTGAACGCCAATAAACATATTTTTACGACAAGGTTACAAACTAGGACACTCGTATGTAAGCACAAGTTCCTGGTCAATTAGAAAAATTCCCGACCCCTCGTTAAGCACGAAATCCGCTGACATGCGGTGGCATTTTGTTGACGTCAAGCGTCGAATAAAAAAACGAACCTCATCGAACCTACTGGAAGCTTTGAATTATAAAAGTGTGAAAAACTTCCCGCGACAAAAACATTCTTCAACTTCTGAAAATAATTTCAAGGCAGTTAACCCAGTAGTTAATGAGAAAAGCGATTTGCGACGACTGCATTGTATAAATTCCGAAACGCTAGTGTTGTAGTTTTGTACTCTTAACTATTTTTTAAATTATCTAGCAGTGCGTGTAAAATACGTTCTACAATGGTGCAACTAGTCTGCAATCGAACGTTAGATCGTGGTATTACAGCACTTGTTTTGTAAACATTGTTAGTATGCCGTCATCTACCTGGGAGAACTTGAGGAGAAGAGTGAGAGCAAAACGATGTTTACACCGGTAACTATTTTCAACGTCAGGCACGTATTTCTCGTATTCTAATTCCTGCAATACAAAAAAATTATGATGCTAATAGCCTCTGCTCAATGCTTCTATTTTATATCCGAAATCACCGATCGATTTTAATATTGCTGTCACCAATCAATCGACTCACAAAATCGTCTTTATTTACATATGATTGGATAGGCCAGTGGTTCCTTAACCTTTTTTGTTAAATTCCCTTCATTTGCTGATTTTTTACCTCTTTATTGCTTCTCTCCATATGCATAGAAAACTATAATAACGTTTGTATTATTATTGAATATATATTATCAAACTACGTAGAATTACATAAGGATAATAAAATAATCAACATAATTATAATGCGATGATATCTTGCTGTACGTAGTGATGAATCATCCTCACGGAATCTGAAAATAAAAATGAGCAAAATAAGATGAGATCTAAAATATAAGTACGACTAGCTTTTGATAAAAGGACGTTTATTTTTTCGTTAAAAGGAAGAAACCAAGATGTATTGGTATGAGTATGATCATCGGGGTGCATGGTTATGGAAACCAATCTCAAGATTTCAACTCATTTTTCTCATCCGAGCCCGGAGTGATGTTATTGAAATTCCGAGATTTTTAGAAACAATCCAATATTAGAGCAAAATCATTTTTTATTTTCAATCATTTTTACAATAAATATGGCAGTTCGGCTCATGAAGGTGGACCAGCGTCATATTCATTGAGTTTTCCATGCCTGAGAGTAATAATTAAATCAGCTTTGGTAGGTTCCCCTCGTGCGTTGACTGCCGAAATTTGAAAGGGAACCTTTGTGAATTTTCTTGAGCCATGTGTAATTCCGAACAAATATCGATATCGTAAAAGCATACGGTTTACATATTATCATATTACACCAAATTAGAGCCCGACAATAACAGTGATGAAATGATTCGCGTACAATGTAATAAACGGTACTTCTTGGCACATTGAGTCAACGCATTCTTCTCCGGGAAAACACGGCAAATCGCAATCATTTCCACAAACATCCTCCCCGTTGCAAATCGCAGGGTACTCACCTGGCGGATTGCACCCTAAAAGTAAGCGAATAGAATCAGTTTTAATTTCAAAAAATGCCCATTTCAATATAAATGGTATTACGAAGTGCGACATCATAATCCAAGTCAATCGATAACTTTTCACCATGTTTTAACAATACTGGCTTCAAACCTCATTTCAACAAGCAAACAGTGGCAAAAATTAATTGATTATCTTAGACTGTCGCTATTTTCGTTTAATGATGTCTTTCGTCGAACAAGAAGTTCTCAGAGTGGAAAGCATATAGAGTCGACATATTAAAATCGACCCCCAGTTCAAAACATTTCCTGACCCTATATCTTTTGGTAGAAAAACCATTTCCTTTGCAGTTGATAAATCATACTTCGACTGTTCTACGTCACAGTTTTTCACTAGTTTATAGCTATGTCTCCATACCGAGAACATTGGAATATAACTGCGACTTGAGCATGAAATTGAACAATGAGTCTTTTCTGTACCAAATTTATTTCTTGACGACCATTTCTTTTATATTTATGCCGGCCTTTCATCACAGATCGACTTAAGCAAATTTATTTTTAATTAATGGCCGGTTTTTACAAAGAAACACAATGTTTGAATATAGACGTTTCAGTATCGGTCTTTTGTGTATTTAAACTCACCAGCCTCTACGTTGAGTATTATCACTGAAGCAACAGCTAACATCAGGGTCAGTACCAAGATTTTGTTCATCATTTTTACTCGGGATGAAGGTTTTTGAAACAAAGCTAGTTTAAACTTTTTACCAAAAGATGATACAAATGGATATGCGGACAGATAAATTGTTGTTGTGGAACAAAAAAATACGATTCTGCTTGGCTACGCTTCTAAATTCTGGTGCAATACTGGTGTAGATTACTTAAAAGTATACATAATTCATTCACAAGACTGTTCGACGTTTCATGAAATGAATATTTTGCGTATTTTCCGTTCTACAGGTGTTTTAAATTATCTACAACGGTTCCATTACATTTGAACCCACGTACATTTGAACCCATGACAATTGCACCTGTATGCTATTGCACCTATGGATTTTTTTTTGTTTCACGGATAGTTAAACCCATACTAACCCTATAACCCATGGGTTTTAGCACCCGCATATAGATTGAACCCGTGGATATACGCATGGGTTCAAATGTACATGGGTTCAAATGTACGGTCACCATCTACAACACACGAGCGTAACCCGATCTTTAGAGGGTGTTGTCTTCATGTTTTGGTCGGGAAGAAAAAAGGAGTAGCGAGCCATTTAGGTCCCGCTTGTTTATCGCCAGAAGTAACCAATGTCGTGTAAATTGAGTCGTCGCAGCCTAAAACGCTAAACACAATTACTTTGTGAAATTCATAACGGACTAGGGCATGAATCAACCTGACGTTGCGAAAGAAATAGTAATTACCGAATTCAATCACCAATACGATGTTGACAGCTTTCGTAGGGCTTGACATAACGCTCCAAACGCTGGTTACATAATATGCAGAATTTCTACTATGTGATCTAAAAACTGTATCTCCCACAGTATTAAAGAATACAAAACAGCAGGAGGAAGTGAATTTGCGTCCGCACTAAATTTAAAGTTATTGATAAATTTGAACGTGCAACGTTGCAGTTTAAATCATATGGGAGTGTGATATATACAGATCAGCGGCATTCAACAAATTATCCAGCGATCTATACCATCGCTTTGATACATTTAACGCAGGACGACCGAATACAAATAGCTGGGTGAAACCGCGAGCCGCATATTCAAATATATATAGATTTTCTAAGTGGTATAGGATTACGACATCTGAAAAGTCGAAATCTCTGACAAACTTTTATTGAGCCACCTTGACCAATTTTGCAACCAAATATTTTATATTATGGTATAAATTTTCTATGTATTCAAAAGCACGTCGCTTTCTTGGGAGAATACAATAAATACAGAGCAAAACGAAAGAAGCAAAATTGTTGCATTTTACTGAATCAAATGCAGGTTGACATACTAAAAATAGCCCAGAGTGATAAATTAAAGTAAACTATAGGTGCCGGTAGTGCAGAGGTTTGCAATCCATGGCACGCGTGGTGATTTTATATCCGTGTTTTGTTTTATTGTTTCGTCGTTATCATTTTTGTTTCTCGCATGCCGGTATTTGCGTTTATTCTGTTTTTAACTGTGCTATCAAACGCGATGTCTGTAGCCAAGAGGTCCAAATCAGATGAGAGACAATTTCAAGAGTCGTGGAAAACAATTTGTCGGTCGTAATGACAGAGCTGTATGTACAATTTGCTGAACAAATGTCTTTTGCCGTACCTCAAGTATTGAAATCAAACACAAAAAATTATTCAAAAATTATTGGGAAAAGAATGAAGCTCCTAAAAAGGCAGTTTCTCCTTACAAAAGTATCATTTAAAAAGAAAAACTATTTAAAATACAAGTCAAAAACTACAAGAAAGGGGGCCTCAAAGTTTCGCCGAGCTTGGGAAGCATTTTAAGATGGATTAATTTTGGTGACCTCAGGCTTGTTGTGAAAGCCTTGCTTTTTGTATTCGGATATAGGTACTTGTGTGAACAATTTCTTGCGATCAACTACAACCTATGAAGTACAACCTAAATATTAAAGCCCTGGCGGAGGAAAAGCGAGGTTAGAGATCCTACTGAAATAAAATTATATTGTGAACATTTTTGTGTTTATGTATTACAAATAACTTCAATGATTTGCCGTGACATTTGAATAGGTACACTGAAACAAATAACTTGTGTGCAAACCATCAAACAAATAGTGCAAACCATCCAAGCCATTTTACATTTACATTTTATCAATCTGTACTGTCCTCAGGTCTGTTTATATAACGAAATTTTTCATCGGCACGCAAACGTCTATTTTGACATTGAATATTACAAATTGTCACACTCGTAAAAAACGTTGCCGACCTCTGCAGTAGCGCAACTAAATACCGATTACAAAATGCTGACAATTAAGTTCCATATCGTCACGCTAATAACCGAATTGCGTAAGTCATTTTTGGCGATTTCGAGTTTTTTATAAAATAGGTATTTATGTAATGCTGCGCACCTGTCTGTTAACTCAGATTTTATTTTAAGAATTCCGAAACCCATAAAAATGGAGATTTAGTATGACATGCACATTTGTGCAATTGTTTCGTCATAATGAATTATCATTGGTACCGCAGGGCTATTGTGACGTCACAAAGGCAAAATAACCTCGGCTAAGGATTTTCGAGTTTTTGCATCTCAGATTCTAGCTTAGCGCGTATTAATTTGAATTTATACTACAGTATAGGAAGACGTGCACTTGTGATATTCACTGTCCGAGTCCAATTCACATTGGTTGGCTTTTATATTGGGTGCATTGCTGTTTTATTCTTTATATTAAATCTTAGTCTTATTTCGGTGGGTGTGCAGAACGTGTTATATTGATGAAATATATATTTTTAAACATAAAAAATAATGTAATTGAAACTGATTAGCTATTTTGGGGATTAGACATTGTAGATACTAAGAATTACATTCGTTTTTGGAATGTTCAGTTTTCAGGACTGGTGCATATAGTATAGTTGCAAAATTGCGTATGTCCCCAAGTCATAGACACATTTCTGCGTAAGTCACAGTGCGCCATTATGACGTCACTTAACTGCGTCATACAAATTAACTTAAATCCGGCTACGATCAAAAAATTGAACCATGATAAATTATTGACTCTCAATGGCATAACAATATCATTAGGAAGTTTTTTACGTTTTTCTCAAAACTGCTAAAAATGACTTACGCAATTCGGTTATTAGCGTGACGATATGTGACATCAGAAATATCTGAATGCGACTCAATCCGTGTTGTGCAACAAAGCATTCATGTGCCATATCTCTGAAAAATTCGATTTTGTGGATGCGTAATATCTAAATACCCCCAGGTGGGGAGCTACTGGGATAATGTAACGTGGATTTATATTTGAAGTAAATTTATATTTGTTCTATAATACTCCAACAAAATTGCCGAGTTCCTGTTTAGACAGCATTCACCGAAATACGTGACAAGAATGAATCAAGAGGATGTGGAAGATTGCCTGGTAGTAACCTATTTGTAATAGATGATGACTCGTATTGAGCTCATTCACACAAAAATTTCTCGATGTGGAAGGCCCATGAAGTTAACTTATGCAATGATATTTTGTGATCAATTGTATCAAATGCTTTCTGTAATTCTATAAAGACACAGCAGATATATATTTTGTTTATCATCTAATGGTTTGTGGAAAGTTATTTGACACGAGACAGGTCTATCTAAAACTTTTTACCAAAAGATGAACAAATAAAAGTACAGGCATTTAAAATTGTAATTGTCATGAAACAAAAATTCGCTTTCAAATTCTGACGCATTTAAAAGTAGACTCGGCAGAGCATCTTCGTTCGCAACGCTCAACCAAAAAGATACAATGGCGTTTCGATTGAAATCAATCATTAAAGATCGATCAGACTCTTTACATATCGTTGCAGGCTCTATATGCAGCAGTCATCACGAATCCCAGTTTGGCAAACCCTGGGCTAGGAAATAGAATTACTGCTTCAGCGGCCATATATTACGAAACGGCGGCCCTTCCAGGTAAGAACATTTCCATGCTACAAACAATGTTTGCATTCTTTACACTGATCGATGTAGTTCATAAACTTAGCACGGAGGTAGTATAGGCCCATAGGATATAACATTGGCATATCATTGTGTGAGATGGACTTGGACAATAGATGAACTTACACAATATCTGATTTGCGCTTCCGATAAGATGAATATTTTAAGCCATAATCAACACCTAACTGCAAAAAATGATAACGCTCCGAAGATATTGTTTGTTACTCGCACCTGATAACGAAAAAAGGCTGTAAATCAAATACAAGCTTATCAGTCGCCGGATCACTATTGAGCTGATAAGGACCTTTTTCTAGCATGATGACATATAAATAGGGCAATCTAATACTTAGGTACATTACAGAATTTGACAAGCTTATAAGAAATAAAAATAAAAAACAATGCCATTTAGAAATCAAAATGCAAGATCTACAATTTCAGCAAGCCATGCGCACCCAATTCAGCCACAGTTTACCAGCGTTATTAGCATGTTAATTCACGAATGGGATGAACAAAGAAGGCGAAGATTTGAAGCCGATGAAAGAAAAATTAAAGCAAAGACATCGAAAAGGGAAAATAAGAGCCTGAAAATACTCAAACCACTTGCGAAGAAAATAAAATCAACAAGAATTACAAAACAGAAGTATTTGATAAGGGGAAATGGAAAATATATCTCACCCAAAAGGCGCAAACGTTCAACAGGTTCGAAAATAACGAAGAAACCACATACTTGTCTTTCTCACAAGCGAGAATGATTTTAGTGTATGCGATTTGAGGATATAAACTCTCATTAATTTATTTCAGTCTCAATTGTGGTTCTGTATTCTGATATTTAATGCGAAATAAAAACTTGAATGAGTTATGTGAAGTCACATAATGCAGGAATAAAAAATAAGGTTGTATAATGGCTTTTCCAATGTTCATATGATATTTTGTTTAGTTTGGCTTTCTCTAGACCGCCAGAAGGAAAAGTGAAGAACGATAGGATTTTCATATTGATTCCGTGAGAGGAATCCGATTATACGGATTTATCAAAATGACAAACCACTACATTTTGCTTACGCATCATTTTAGGATGGGTATGACCAAGCAGATAATTGTTCCACATGTATTGAGTTTTATGAGAAAAGCAGCCCCAACCGACCACGTGAAGAGCATTCATTTTGCTCGTTACTTGCCTTTGGGCCCGCGGACATTTGAATATTTTTTCTGTGTATATATGTTGTCGCTTACGCCGTTTTAATCTAGTCGTTTTACGTACGATAGACTTCTAGTTACTTGATTTATTATTATGTAAAAAAGTGATTAGAGTTAGAATCAACAGTGGGATTTAAATTTTATGTCAGCTGGTTCCATTACAAAAGTCATAATTTTTTTAGCAAATAAATTCAATTTTCAGACAAACAATCACAAATGGAAAATTTCTACAATTATCAAATGTAACCCAATGTATAACTGTTACGTGCGAAATGTTACGAGACCATTTGACATTAAAAAAAAAAACACGTGAGTTACTAGATCTCAAAAATCGGTGTGTCAGATAAGATGCAAAAATCCATTGACAGTATCCAGTAGTGCTAACCGGTTTGCTTATCTCATAAAATTCCGTGAAACGGTTCTATAGAACCGGTGCAAACCGGCTAAATCCCACCACATGCTTTGAACTGGGCTAGTTCTACTTCCCCCATCCCGATTCCAAATTAGATTGTATCGAAATCCTCTATGGAATTATACGGAGGCAATTTGCGCTTTAATCTAATATAACGTTATGTAATGCCAATTCATTTTAGTCTAAATAAAGTTGATTTTTGAATATTCAAATTCAGTAAATAAACATGGAAGATGTCGAACGTTCTTTTTCAGGTCTTGGTATATACAGGCTACAAGGAAAATCAGGAACTGCTCAAATAATACAGCATTCATGCGCACTTTTAATAATATATATATATTACAAAAAATAAATATATATAAATAGTTAAATACTCTTTATGTTTCTGCCTATTTTGTACTTTTCTAAATTTTCATTAGCCTCGAAAACCCGGGAAATTTTTTTGACTCAGTCGATAGTGAGAAATCTCTTCCACACTTTTTAAAAATGATTAATCTAAAAAGAGGAAAACGGTAATAATAAGTAAATGGATACAGGTTTTCATATATTGTATATTTGAAAATCTCGCAATTCTCTACTTTGTAATTTCGTTTTTGATAAATGAAAATATAATACATCTCCCTAAACAGGCCCTAGTGTTGTTTTTCGAAATGAAATTGAAATAAGACACAGTCTTATTAGGACTTATTAAGTCCATGCTTCCGAAAACGAGAGCTATGCTCAAATATATGGACACGTCACAAGGTGTCGCTGTTTTTTATTCTGACACATAAAAAACGAATATCTTGAAGTCCACAGAAATTTTTAAATTAGGTAAAAGAATAGACTTCTGGCGAAAAATCATTAACCACTGAAAATTTCAAAGCAATTGGTCCAGTATTCGAAGAGAAAAGCGATTTTATCATGACGAAGGAGAAGAAAAACAAGATCAACAACATAATATTAAAACCAAAACCTATATGTATATATAATACCTGATTGAAACGATCGTTATGTACAATGACGTGTCCAATAACTAACTAATCCCATACCAGACATGGAATGATAACCAGACGAGAGGCCGTGGTTCGTCATATGGTTAAGCCGTATTATAGGCTTCGCTCTCCCCCGGGATAAATACTTCTTCCTTTTTTATTCTTATTTTTGGGAAAACATGGCATTAACCAGTACAGTATTGTTCTTTTTTGCATTTATCTTTTTTCATGTCTACTTGTAAAAAATGGTGGCGCTGTTTCGTAAGAACAATTTCTTGTGTTATCCATGCGTAACTTCGCCATGCTGTTCCCGCCAGAACGTTTTTTTTTCTTCCCGCTTTTTATTTCGTCTAGATTTTTTATTGTTGAGGTTTTCTTTAGTTGACAGCTAGCTGCCGATCTCCTCGCGTCGATATAGCCTCCTAACCGTTTATTTTGTTCTTTATCACCAACATTCAAAATGTTTGAAGCGCGACTTATCCAAGGTAGTAATCTCAAGAAAGTACAAGAAGCATTGAAAGACATTGTTACAGAAGCATCATGGGATTGCACATCATCTGGAATAAGTTTACAAGCAATGGATAGTTCCCACGTCTCACTAGTGCAACTAACTTTAAGAGCAGATGGGTTTGAAAACTTCAGATGCGATAGAAATCTGGCCATGGGCATCAACATGACAAGCATGGCAAAAATTATGAAATGCGCTGGAAATGACGATATTATTACCCTAAGAGCAGAAGATAATGCTGATATGTTGGAATTGATTTTCGAATCATCGAAAGGTGATAAATATTCTCAATACGAAATGAAGTTGATGGACCTTGATTGTGAACAACTCGGAATCCCTGAGCAAGATTATAGCTGTTGCGTGACACTTCCCTCCCAAGAATTCGGAAGAATCTGCCGAGATTTAAGCCAAATTGGAGAATGCGTTGTCATCACTTGTACTAAAGATGGAGTGCAATTTTCTGCAAAAGGAGACTTAGGAGCTGGAAAAATTAAACTTAAGCAAAATACTGGCTCTGATATCAAAGAAGAAGAGCAAGTGACCGTCGAAATATCAGAGCCTGTTCAGCTGACTTTTGCGATAAAATATTTGAACTTATTTGCGAAGGCATCTCCTCTCTCACCATCTGTATGTTTATCAATGTCAAACAATGTTCCACTCGTTGTTGAATACAAAGTAGCAGACATGGGTCACATCAAATATTTTCTTGCTCCGAAAATTGAAGATGAGGAAGAACAAGACAGTTGAAGAAACTTCTAGTTTTCACATACATTTTGTTCATAAAAGGAAAAACAATAGACTACCACAGTACTAGTTGGCTTATGGTCAATAAATTATACACACTGCCATAAGGATATAAATATCAGTTATGATTACTGCTCCATTGACATTCCCATTCACCAACATCAAATTGATTACTGGATTAGATAAAATTCCATATTATGGCGATTGCTTTGTTAATATGAAAACATCATTTTCTTGATTTTGTCTTGTCAATTTATCTGAACTGGCCTCATTTGACCTGCCTTCCCTCTCAACTTAACCGAAGTTACTCCAAGGTCAGCTCCATTTATGGAAGTACTCACCTCCAAAGCTATAGCTTCATCCTTCCTTTTGGTAATTATCGACACGCTGACTAATTTGTTTCTTTCATCTTGGGTTGTCAGCAGTGCAAGCTGATTGATTTGTTTTGCATTATCGAATGAAACCTCAAAAAAACATCTTTGCTTTATCATGTTGGATGAATATTGCTATTGATAAAATATTTGTGGATTGAACAATTAACACTTTGGCCTTAAATATATAATATTGTTGTTTTTTCAAACTGTCTTGTATTTTGCTGTAGAGCTCTTTCTCTTAAATTAATTATTTCCAAGATTCGAATTGAATATTTGAAATTTATGTAGTGCTATTTAACTTTGTAGTGAACTTCCTATGAAAAGAAGGGTTTCGATTTATTTAATCTTGTATTATAACTCCGAATTAATTGAATTCTGTCAAATAAAAATGACAACTTTTCAACTGTCCTATCTGTATAATTATTGGTGTAAATTTTTCAATACTAACATCATGGTTTCTCTTAATAATCAACACTGCCTCTCAGTTTCTAACTTGTGTTTCATGTGTTCGTTAATACATATTTTAGAATTTCATATTGAATAAAAAATATAAAACATTGAACAACACGAGGGTTGTGTTCGAAGCTGTTTATCTGATTATTTGGACACATTCATAACAAAATGTTTCTCTATGCTCTCACACTTCAACGAGCTAGCACAATAACGCATGCTGTCCATGGGAATTTTTCTGGCACGAAGCAGCAGGAGATTGCCCTGTCTAGAGGTAGGGCTTAGTTATAATAACTTGTGTTTTATAATGAACGTAGATGGTAACTGGTGAATTAATAAGAGTCTCAACGACTCTAAATCAGTGGTTCTCAACTTTTTTTCTTTCGTGGCTCATTATCAGTAGGGCACGGTTCCAATATGATGTGACATTTGGTCCAATGAAACAAAAACTATTGCGCCATGCTTGTCTCTATGATAATTTAAACCGATCATGACTACGTCGGCTGTCATGTGACCAAAATTACGTTTTTTTGCTGATTTTTTTTCCCTTTGTGGTACTTTTTTTTAAATTGCGCTCGGAGGACCTGACTGACACGTAAGGGAGGGGTTTGCACTTACTGTTTTAATTGATTTCTATTAATGTGGTGGCTATACTTGGTATCTGAGAACCGTACTGATTTTAATTGCACAAAAAGTCTGTAGCTCATTAACTTTTTCATGCATAGGAAAAATTCTTTCGGGAAGAACAGACACTTTCACTCTAATAATCAGAATGAAAATCACCACTCGGTAGCATCATCATTCATTGCCACTACAGTAAAATTTACCTATAGTTTTCGATAGGTTTATGGCCCACCTGAAAATTATTCTGTTGCCTAGCAGTGAGCCATGGCCCACTGGTCGAGAACCGGTGTTCTAAATGGTAAAAATATCTATGGACTGACTTAACGTATCATGCATTAGGAGAGAGATTGATTGTAGTTTCATCATTTCTATAAAGCCAACTGTGTAGAAACCTAAACTATTGATCAAATCCCAACCTTTTCCTTTCTTGAAACTTTGTGCAGTGTAAATTGCGCTTGCAAAACCAAGAATTGATAAAATATGATGCCTAAGAAATTCCAATATATTGCTAAAACTTTTGAGCTTGGCAAATAAGAGATACAAACTACTATACAGAGTTATATCAATAGTGTGTTAAGAATAAAACTTCCTAGTTGATATTTTGAAATACTTCATGACTAAATAATGATAACACCTCTAACATTTTGCCCATTTAATTAATTAAAGGATTATAAAAAAAAAACATAACATAGGTTTTGCACCAAAGAAACAATGATCAATGTCTGTACGAAAGATTCAAAATCTGCTTGCAATCTTGCAATGAAAAAGGCTTGTCAATTTAGGCTGTTAGGTACTCCCTAAAAAAATTTCATTTTTGTTAGCCTTGAATATATTAATAGAAGGAACAGCTAAAAATTCTAAATATATTTTTTTTTACAACGCTTGCATTTGTGCCTCTTAGCTATGAACAAGGCCCTATGGTAGCAACCACTGATGTTTGGAATTAGGTAAACTTGATGGAATTTTTCCTGTTCTTGATGGTTATATACTTCAATGCTAACACGTCTCATGTTTCATCTGCTATTCCATCACGCCCCCGTTTCTGTTATCAGATAATGTCGTATTATAATCAGAAATTGCTAACTGATTTGCCTAAATTGCTACACTATTTGAGGTGGGTCTTACAGTTCATCCTGCGTCATAGAAGAAAATTTCAAGCATTCCAATTTCATTAGCAAACAGAGAATTATGATGCTTATTAATAAATCTGAATCGTAGAAATGATTACATAGTTATCACATTTTGTAAACTTTAAATAAATTATCAAATAGATAGACATAAATTTTTCTGATGTTAAGATGTGAATTTTTGTATATTTTGTTAATATTCCACGTTTATAATTCCAGGAAAGATTTTGGAACTTGTCAAACCTGATCCAAATACTGGAAAAGTTCATACGTTGTTGACGGTCGAAGTTTTTGGCATTATTCGTGCTTTGATGTCATTTCGATTAACTGGTGGTAACAAGGATTATGTCGTCTGTGGAACAGATTCAGGAAGAATTTGTATTTTGGAGTATATTCCTAACAAAAACAAATTTGACAGAGTAAGTGGGGAAATATATTAATTCTTTTTTGCCACACCCATGAGAATTAGGGATTTAGTGTCATGAATTCATAATATCTATTTATAAATGTCTAGCTGGCTGGTTGTTATAGTCTATAGATCAGCAACCAGTGAACTGCGGCTCTTTGTTCTTGGAGCTCTGGTTCCCGTGAATTAGAGTGGCTACGGCAGATTTTGTTAGAATCAGTGGGGATTGAATGAAAGTTGGAGTCATAAAGTTACTACAAACTAATTACACATCATAGCAGCTATAAATCGAGAGTGGTAAAAATAGGTCGCATTAAGGTGATTCAAATCTGTCAGAACTAACTTTTTCTTTTTAGGTTCTTTTCATTTCAACGTAAACTGAATTATTGCATAGTTCGTAAATTATTTGGCTTCTTCCTAGTAAGAACTAGAATATCGCATCATAAGTGGTTTTCCGAGAGTTTTAATAGCCACTAACATTAGAGTAGAAGTTGGTTTGAGTTTGACGGCAAGGATGCCAAAAGCTCTTCTAATTTCAAAGGTTGCTGACCCTAAAATGAACTAATTTTTGCTTCATGCGTGATATTACGCATTTATATTTTTAGATTTTCTTAAAATTAATCTGGCATGCATTTGCTCTATATATCCTAGTAAAAATACTGTTTTGCACTCTTCTGCACAGGTTCATATGGAAACATTTGGAAAGAGTGGATGCAGAAGAATAGTACCAGGACAATATCTTGCCATTGATCCAAAGGGAAGAGCAGTTATGATAGGTACCGGTATATTAATTTATTTGATTTTAGTTTTCTTGTGACAATGTTATTGACACTGATTTCGTGTTCATAAAACCAATATGATAATTTTATCATTAATACAACATACTATCTAGTTGCCCAATGCAACTATGCAAGCACTATTTTTATGTAGCTAACAGTACATGACATTTACAAATGAGTATGTGTGAATATTATCGAAATCCTATTTTTATTAGGTTCTATGGAGAAACAAAAACTGGTGTATATCCTGAATCGGGATTCCGAGGCTCGTTTGACTATTTCTTCTCCTCTGGAAGCACATAAAGCTAACACACTCGTGTATCACATGGCTGGTATTGATGTAGGATTTGAAAACCCAATGTTTGCATGTTTGGAAATGGATTATGAAGAAGCCGATAATGATCCTACAGGAGAAGCAGCACAACTTTCCCAGCAGGTGTGTGTTTATTTTTTTTATTTTAAAAAAATTTTGCCAATGAACGAATGTTTGTGAAACTGGCATTTTACTGGCAATGAAAGTACAGAAAACAGAACCTGTATAACAATTAAACAACAAAAATAAAAATTATTAATAAGACTATTTAACTCTTTAGCTTCGAACAAGGCTCAAGTCCAGTAGCTATCCAATTAAGCACACCTGGGATGATAATTGGTTGATAGATAACTAGACCTATTGTAACTAGAATATGAAATCTGTAAAATTATATATACTTAAACAAAATAAGTATAATTTAGGAATTCCAGAGGTTTTTGTTTTTTACTGTAGCATTTTCTGTTGTTAATTAATTTATCTAGTTCAGCGTTTCTTAATAATAAACAAATTTTGCCTTGGAACACCCACGCTTTTTATCTCGCCTTGCGGATCGCCAAGAACTTGAAAGTAAAACTGATGGGTGGTTTCCGAAAAATATAGCCTATGATAAAATTTATAAGTTTGCTGCAAACTTGACAAATAAAAAATTAGGCTGGCGGTTAAACATATGGAACGGTCAACAGAAACGCCTTGCTTTCCAGACTGGCACGAGGCCTGTCCGCATGTTTGTTGCCAGTTGGGAGACAAATATACGACCCAGAGTTGCCGAAGTACAGCCAAGATCGCCATGGCGACTAATTTAGTCGCAATTGTGATTCCTGTTCCAAGGGACACTCAGAAGAACAGTTATTCCAAATATTATTTTATTTTTTTTTTTCAGACCTTAACATTCTATGAACTTGATCTTGGACTGAACCACGTTGTAAGAAAATACAGCGAACCTTTAGACGAACGTGCAAATCATTTGGTCACTGTACCAGGTGGTAACGATGGACCTGGTGGCGTTCTTGTATGTGCTGAAAATTACATTACTTACAAAAATTTCGGTGATCAACCTGATATCAAATCTCCCATTCCAAGAAGAAGAGTAAGTTTGAAATGCATTTCAACTAATATCGGGTAGATAGTGGCTCGAATATTGTTACTAATAGGGGACTTGAAACAAACAGAACCCTTGTCATTTGGAACACATTCCAGAGCAGTGGTTCTCAAACGGTGGGGGACAATTTTTTGAGGGGCCGTGAAGCTAATTAAAAATAAAAATATTTATTAGATATGATCTTGCCAGCCTTATTTTGGATATTTACATTTCCAAACTTTCATCTATTTCATTATCTACGTTCCATCCACATATTTTTTTGTTAGCTAGCTATTTCTGAGATGGGCGCGAGACTTGACAAATTCTAAAAAGGGGAGAGGCTTGAAAAATTTGAGAACCATGTTCTAGAGCAAACATTAGATTTTTACAAAGCGTCCTATGGTTCAGTGATGCACAAACAGTTCAAGTGTTCAATAAATTTCCTCATTTTCATAGAAGTATTTATTTATCTGTTCCGTTTTGAAGCCACTCTGTAATTACATCACTAATTAATTATAAAAAAAAAGAATATCGGTCAGAGATCGAAGACTTGTCGATCGAAAGTTAGGGGATCCCCAAAACAGCGCTCTTACTCCATAGTGACACCTTATGTCCCATCACTAATTAATTAATAACTCGCTAATTATACGACATAATTCATCTAAAATTAATAGGCTTCTGGTACGACATATGATGAATGCACATGCAAAATCTGGAGCAGATTCAATCTCGCTTTCGTGAGATATCGCGTGCATCTAACAGACAGACAAACAAACACCTATCAACATACTTACCGATTAAAATCGATAAGTAATGATAATACAACATTTTCACAATTCTGTAAAAGAACTATATTCTCTAATGCCTTGGTGTGCCATGCCTATTTATTGAAATCAAGGATTCACCATAGTTATCCTTTATTCTAGAATGACTTGGATGATCCAGAGAGAGGAATGATGTTTGTGTGCAGTGCAACACACAAAACCAAATCTATGTTTTTCTTTCTGGTTCAAACTGAGCAAGGAGACATTTTCAAGGTGAAGAATTTTGCTTGTTTGTTCTTTTTTACATTTCTTTTGACTTAAAACTCATTTTGCATTTATATCCCAATATCATCAAAATCAACTCTCAAAACTGCTAATTTACTGGTTATTTATATTTCATCAGTTTAGCCCTGATTAAGGCTCAACCTAAATGATTTTTGTAGATTATGAAGGGAACTTCTAATTATTGCAAAGACCACCATATTTTTCTAGGAATATAGTATACCCAATTTAAATCACCCTGTGTGGATGGGGTTTAACCCAGAAACACTGATATAAACATTGTCATGCCCAACTTGCTATTCAGCAGGCTACTGCACTCAGATAATGTGCTTACTTTTTCCAAATGATATCAAATTATACAATTGACCCTTGCAGTTGTTAAAACTGAAGATGTACATTATTGGCATTGTAGCATTCCAATAACAAATAAATACGTATTCGAAGTTTGCGTTTTTTATGTTCTGGAATATCTGTTCATGTAGATAAAATAATGATCACTGTAAATACTGTTCGCAGATAAATATTTTATCCCGCACATATTAATAAATACTCAAGAATATTGTGTGACATTGATGTTAATTACACATTATCAAGATATTATTGGTATAATTGGCAAATTTGTATGTCATCGCTCATCAGTATCAGCAAAAAATGATATCAGCATATCTCTAGTTAGAAGAATTCAAATAATACAACTTATTAAACTTTGACCCTCAGAAATTAAGATATATTGTACATGGGATAGGATGTAAATCCTACCTTGTATTGTGATACTGAAATCAATTTTTAAAAAGTTAGAATTATTTTATTTCCTCCGATTATTTCCACAGATAACTCTTGAAACAGATGAAGATATGGTGACTGAAATCCGATTAAAATACTTCGATACGGTACCTGTAGCAACAGCAATGTGTGTACTGAGGACTGGATTCCTGTTTGTTGCTTCTGAATTTGGAAATCAGTGAGTGAATAAAATCGTTTTTGTTTACTCAACTTCTTTCGATTATTGGTTACCAACTTATTTATTCATTGGTTGTTTATTCCTGGCATTGGTTGAATATTCAATAATCTTCCATTTCATCAAACAGACTCTACAATTCTTTCCAGGTTTTATAGTAAAATTCCTTTTTAGTGCGTTATATCAAATTGCACATCTTGGTGATGATGATGATGAACCAGAATTTTCAAGTGCAATGCCGTTGGAAGAAGGAGATACATTCTTTTATGCACCTCGACCACTCAGAAATCTTGTCATGGTCGACGAACTTGATTCTCTCTCACCAATTATGGCATGCCAGGTATTCAACGATAATAGCGGTTAATTTAGACTGAAATAATAAAAAATGTAAAATGATGTTGATATATTTTTAGCAAGCTCAAATCATATTTTTTATTGATACATTTGTGCTTACATCAAAATATTAATTGTTTGATTTTCTATTTGAACCTATAAATCTTGACCGACCTGAAAGTCAAGTGGCTTGTGATGATTACTTTCTGATGACTATAATTTGATTAAAATATAGTCCCTCTAATCTGATGGCCACAAAAATTTGTTCCATTCTTTTATGTTGATCAATGTAAAATTTACTCTAAACTAAAATAGAATTGGTATTGGTGATAATTTGTCAAATTGAAACCTTAGAAAAATAAAATTTTTCAATAAGCGGTATTGAACAATAGAGATTAAAAGTATGATGTCATAATTTCCTTACAGATTGCTGATTTGGCAAACGAAGACAACCCACAACTTTATGTAACGTGTGGCAGAGGTCCGAGGTCATCCTTACGTGTATTAAGACATGGTTTAGAGGTGCGGAGTTTTTTTTATATATCCTACACGAGATATTTTGAATTTAAAATTTGTTGCTTCCAATTATCCAATTGTCTGTTTTATTTATTTCTGACTTCTAGTATCAGTAGGGCAAGTTGGAATTTTGAAAAAAAAAAAAACTTATTTTCAAAAATATGTTTTCTTTCAATACACTAAACGATCCACATAGCTCAATTAGTTTTCGAGATAAGTTTTAGAAATAAGGGTAAATGTTAAGTTTGTCCCTTGCCTACTGGTGCAAAGGAAAATATTCTGTCGTAAAACCTTCACGTTTTATATTTGTGATACAAATATCTGATATATACTTTAAATATACTTTAAAAAGGGAAAAAAGATGGCAAATATCATTTTTTTTTCAAACCAGGTTCGAAATATGATGTGCAATATGCAAAATAACCCGAACAATTGATAAAAATTTTTTCCAAGGTTCTTCAGGGAACCTATAAATGCTTGACTGATTGCTTAATATGGGTATATTGATAAAATTTGGCTTGTTATGAAATGCCTGTATTAACGAAAATATGCACCCTAATATCTGATCATAATTTTGTACGATATTCCATATTTGAATGAAAGGGTAGAAGAGTTTAAAAATAAAAAATATACCTTGAACTCATTTTTTTAAAACAGATTTTTCAGTCTTGCGTTTTTGAGTGAAATCTCTCGAAATATGCAAATATAAAATATTGAATTTATAAAAGATGTGAAGGTATAAATATGTTTCGAGTATTTTTAAGTTGTGTGGTAATTTAAATACGACAATTTGTATTCAGGTGTCAGAAATGGCTGTATCAGAATTGCCTGGTAATCCAAATGCTGTATGGACAGTCAAAGTTACTGAAGACGGTATGTCAGCGTTATCATTTTTCTAATTATATTTGAAAGTTATCCGAAAATGTTTAGGGTGGTAACAGTTTCACAATGGATAGAAAAATATTTTCTAGACAATTCAATGTGGACACTGAAATTGGATAGTGAAATTAGGTTTGCTCAAAACAATGTTCAATAACTTAAATCTCTTCTGGCATATCCGGGTTTTAGGAAAGCCACCCGTCATTAGTCTGGCCATGGGCACTAATATAAACCCTTTCTGTGCCACGTAACTTACTATTTCATAACAATAATGAGATGCGAATCCCTCTTTGTGTGACATGAATAGGTAGATCTTGGGCAGGCCGTCCCATATTTTCAGATAATGACCGAATACCTGTTCAGCGAAAACCAATTAAAATGCAATATACAACTGCGGTATAACGAATCAGGAGTTGGTCGTTGGTCATTTGGCTTGCATCTTATTTTTTCAATTTGTCTTTTTCCAATTGACGGCCCTGGGTGGCCTTCTTGAAAACCCCGGTATATTATAACAATATCAGAATTCAAATTCGGTATTTAAGGATAAAATTGAAATATCGTTAAATTTATAGCTTTGTTTATTCTTGGTGTGTGGATGTATATTTTTGGAAAGGACATTGAAATAAGCACTTGCTGTTTGCATTGATCCCAGACATTTTTATTGGTAATCATTTAAAAATTGGATTTTGATTAGTTTCTAATATTCGGGCTTATGTGTGCTTGTCACCAAAGCCCTACTCTTTCCTTCCACAGGTCTCTACACACAGTGGCAGTGCGACGCGCTGTTTCAGAGGCAAGTAATCACTGAAGATACCAAGCTACCCACGGATTTTTGAGTGGGCCTAAGCAATCTTGTGTTGTTAATTATTAATAGTCAGTTTCCAAATTCATTCTTAGAGTCGTTTGATTACGACTTGCCCTTTAGCTCCCTTACTTTAGCAGGCAGGCCGAATGGCCTCCTAGCAGACACTAATGATGTTTTTCAGATCGCCAAGACAACAGATGAACGATCATCCAGACTGCAGCGCGTCGCATCTTTAAATCTTCAATTATCACTTTGCTGTTTTGAATTTCTATATTTTCTTCTCAAAGAAATTTTTAAATAGGTTTATTTTATTATATTTACTCAGATGAGTTTGACTCGTACATTATTGTGTCTTTCGTCAATGCAACACTTGTTTTGTCGATCGGGGAGACTGTAGAGGAAGTTACAGATTCAGGGTTTCTTGGAACAACCCCTACTTTATCCTGCTCACTCTTGGGAGAAAATGCTCTTGTTCAGGTGTGTTATCTTGAAATCCAAAAGTTTGTTTAAATAGGTGCTCGCAGGAATAAAAATGCATAATGTTTTTTTGCTCTTGTCGCTGTGTTAAATCTTTTGCCATTTTGCCGCTGCATTTATTACTGCTTAGTGATAGCTGCACTTTCATCTCTTTGGTTATGTGGCCCACCGACAATCTAGAATTATTCATTTTAATTTTTATTCAATTTGACCAAAACTCTTCTCCTTCGAGAGTGTGATTAATAAAATGGGATTTGGGTGTGTTACAGAAGTTGTTGTTTAATCCTAATGTCCAACTTCACATTATTTATTCAGGTTTATCCTGAAGGAATCCGTCATATCAGATTTGACAAACGTGTTAACGAATGGAAAGCTCCTGGAAAGAAGACTATTTTAAAATGTGCTGTCAATCAGAGACAAGTTGTTATTGCATTGACAGGCGGGGAACTCGTATACTTCGAAATGGATCCTGTAAATTGTTTTTAAACATTTTTTTATATTCTTTTATTGGAAATGATTGAGTAAACTCGAATAGAAACTTTGAAACACCGAACCCAAGCTATTAGAAAAACGTCTCTGGCTCCCTACTTCAGATTACAGGAAATTTTGACTCTAATTCCTAGCTTTGAAAAAAAAAAAATTTTAACTCGAGAACAAAGTTTTAAGAAAGCGTACTTCTTTGGTTCTGACATCACAGGTCAAGCAGCTCCTGTTCGAATCCCATGCGCCCCACTTCACCCAGAGTGTGATAAATTGGATTGGCACCTGGCAATGCCGAACCAAAAAGATTACGGCCCTTTCCAATAATTGTAGCTCTCTAAATATCGCTAGATATCAGTAGCTCGGAGAAAAACTCCAATATTAATAAAATATGTCAAATTTTACAGACATGATATTATTCATCTCGTTGGGGCAAACTCAAATTTTTTCTCAAATTTTTAGAGTGGACAGCTCAACGAGTACACTGAAAGAAAAGAGATGAGTAGTGATGTATTATGCATGGACCTTGGCAAAGTGCCTCCTGGTGAACAAAGAACAAGATTTCTTGCAGTTGGACTGGCTGATAATACTGTCAGAATTATATCGCTCGATCCATCAGTGAGTTAATTATATTTTTGTCGAATCACAAAAATATAATATTTGGTTTATATTTTTTTAAATTTGTACCATACACCTGCAGTTACTGATGCATTATGTGACACTGTGTTTTCTGAAGATTCCAAACTTTTATGATTCGGTAAATAGTGTGGCTAGTTTATTAGGCGGTATAAAGTTAAATGATGTATTGGGCTTGATCCTGAGATCTATAACATGGTGTCGTCAATATATTTAGGTACAATGCGCTAACTACTAGGTTCCAACCTTTTCTGTTGAATTCCCTACCTTCGCCTATTCGAAACTCATTATTTCTCACTATTCATACAAACTACTTTATTTGTTCAATTCGGATTCTTAGCTAGTGGTATGCCTAAGTTGCACTTCCACTTTTGTACAATTTAAGTAGTTTATGTTGTTTGCATAAATAAGTTCTATAATAATAATAAAGACTAAGGGATATTAGATATACTGAAGTAAATACATACAAAACAAAATTACTCGTTGGAGTAGGATTTATCCTATGTTGGGAAAGGTGGTACTAGGCAATCAACAATCAATTCTTTTACATTTTCTAAACAATACGTAATGTGATACTCCAACTTCACGCATGTTATTCTATATTTTGTCAAAGACTGGAACAGATGATGTTTCACAATAAACTGTTTTAGTTAACATAGTATAGTTTTTTCATAAAATTATTTGTATATTATCCTCTTCACAGGATTGTCTTCAACCTTTGAGCATGCAGGCATTACCAGCCACAGCAGAATCAGTTTGCATTATTGAGATGGGAGGCGGAGAAGATGAAACCGGCGAACAAAGACCTTCTGGTGGTCTGGTACTGAATATCGGACTTCAGGTGATGTTTTTAATAAATTGCGCAGAGCTCCCGAAATATGTGCACTAAGATGGCGCACAACCTGAACATAATGTTCAGGTTGTGCGCCATCTTGATGCACATACTTCGGGAGCATCAATTGTACTCGTAATTTTCTTCCTCGAGTGAAGAATTTTGTAACTGTGCTTATTATTTTACTTGTTTTCAACAGAATGGTGTGTTGCTACGAACAACATTGGATAATGTAACTGGTGATTTATCTGATACAAGAACAAGATATCTTGGTACCAGACCTGTCAAATTATTCAGAGTCTCAATGCAGGTATGTTATAAGTAATTTTCTCTGTCTAAAAATGCTACCTTCTGATTGGTGGTAAAAGTTCCGATACAGCAGTGTTTTCTATATGAGATTAATAAGCAACGGGTGACTGTGTAAGATGGAGCAGTACTTTATTTTAAATGATAAAATTTGGGTCTCACAATCATATTTCAATTTTACATTTCTGTAGCACTTTGTTCTCGGAGCTCTGACTCCCGTTAATCAAAGTGATTACATCAGTTTTTAGTGAAGGGATGCAAGTCTTTTAAAATACACTTTCCTTTCATTATTGCATCACTCGTATTCCATTGAGCGTCCTCTTAGTAAGAACTAAATTATTGCATCATTAGTAGTTTTCCACGAGTTTTAATATCCTGACATTAGAGTAGATGTTGCAGCTCTGAGTAGGTTTGAATTTGATGGGAAGGATGCCAAATGACTCTTCCAATGCTAAAGGTTGTCGTTGCCGACCTGTGCACTATACTATATATAAGGAGTTACAATTATTTGGACTGGAATATTTCCGGTTCGGCATAATAATTATTACCCAATTATAACACCCTTGGTGGGGTGGGGCGCATGAAATTTGAACCTGATATGTGTAATTTGTTCAAGTCTAACGCCCTGCCATTATCATTAAAACTTTATTAACATCTCTCACTCACTAGCTTTCTAAAACACATTTTTGTCCTAATGTGTTCATTAACAACATTGTCTATATTGAATTCCAGGGTTCCGACGCAGTGCTTGGAATGTCGAGCAGAACTTGGCTCAGCTATCAATATCAAAATAGATTTCACTTGACACCATTATCATACGAATCACTAGAATTTGCATCAGGTTTTGCTTCTGAACAATGTCCAGAGGGAATAGTTGCCATCTCTGCTAACACACTAAGGTAAAAGATATATTTTGGTTGTTTGAATTTGCAGTGGTAAGTCAGGGTGATCCAAGGTTGCAAGATTGAAGGGTCGCAGAAATATTTGAGGAAGCTATTTGGGCTGCAGTAGGGAAAACCCAAAAGTGATCAAAATACTGCAAGATGAGTTAGTTTGAATATATTGAATTATGAGAGTTAACCATCTTAATCAGCTTATTGTTATGTGGCATGGGTGACGTTGTTTTATTTTAAGGAAGATATCTAAAGCATAAACAAAATAATAAAACAAACTTTTGGTTGCTGCTTCAGATCTGCATTTCGGCACTGCTGTCACATGGCCTGTGCTTGAAAATAGGCCTCGGCTTCGACAGTTATAGATACAACCTTGAAATTCTGTAATTTTAACAAATATCACTCTTGACATTGGTATTACGAAAAAGGTTTAAAATCTCGGAATCCCTACCAGAGCTGGAATAGCTAAAAAAAAATTTTAAATATTCTGCCAATATATACAAACATCTGTATGCTAAAATTGGCACGCGACCAATGTGCCAAGGTTTGGACTAACCTGTGATAAGTGACTACATTTCGCTTAAAGCATGTTATTATCAGAGCAAATCCGCCTTTGAATGGGGTACATTGAATTGTTAGTGTATATATTGTAAGAGTGGCCAATGATGATTACTATGTCGGTATTATATAAAGTGACGAAGATATAGTCCCTCTAATCTGACGGCCTTTCAGTGAGTTTCCTGTAATACAGAATACTAATAGAAACAAAAAACCACCATGGGTACCATACAGACATGTCCTTTTAATCTAATCGAAAAAGATTTCTGTCAAGTTCAATTGGACTTAACAAAAAAATGGATTATTCATTATGAAATAGCTTCGAGTGCCTCAGAGCAGTCTTAACAGTGTTCTAAAAAAGTGTTTTCATATATGGCAAAGTTTTATTTAGCAAAAATTAATTTTCCTTGTAGTTCGGGGATAAAATTGGAGCCATAGTCTTCAGCATGCTGTTGCTTGTTAATTTACTTCGACCAACAGCCATAGGGCAGAGTAACCTTCATCTGCTATAATTTTATTCCTACCTACTTGTATACAGGATTCTGGCTCTTGAGAAATTGGGAACTGTCTTCAATCAAGTGTCAACAGGATTGCAGTACACACCTAGAAGATTTGTTGTTCATCCCGATTCAAATCATCTTATTATACTTGAAACTGATCATAACTCGTACACAGAAGAAACAAAGGACCAAAGAAAACATCAAATGGCTGAGGTGTTTTTATACTAAATAATAGAATCATTGACTTTTGTTTTGATACAATTTATAGATATATGTAATATCTACAAATGAGATATTGTATTTCCTTTCCATTGAGGAATGAGGCCGTGTCCGACAACTTTTTGCTTGTCTGGGGCCAAAATCAACGTCTTTTCTCGTGGGGATTAGATAATTACTACCGGTATTCAAAATTGTAAATAATATTTATGTAATGTGCTACAATACACGCTAGTGCATGGATAACGCTTGTTATATCATGGAATATCTCATTGACCTCATTAAAATTGACAATTGTTTTTGTTTACTTGTTAAGAATTGTAGAAATTGATTTTGGACCCATGTACGTTTGTAAACACAATTATTTATCCATACATGATAACACATCAGATGTGCATGTATTGATATACAATATTGACTGTTGATTACAATGGAACGAAAACAAGGCAACAACACGTAATAGCAGATATTATATATGGCAAGCAGATTCCAACGACTTCATAGTTAAAAATTTTAAATATGCCAATTTGTCTTGACTTACTCATGTGGTCTACGGCCCTTAGGTTGCCCCCTCCCTTGATTGAAGCCTGGTGCGGAGATGATCATCCTCCTTATACTTTCGATTGTTTCATCTCCAGGAAATGATTGAGGCCGCTGGTGAAGAAGAAAAAGAGTTAGCTCAAGAAATGGCTGCTGCATTTTTGCGAGAAGTTTTGCCAGAAGATAAATTCAGTTCACCGAAAGCTGGACCTGGAATGTGGGCTTCACAAATTAGAGTTCTAAACCCTTCCACGGTATGTGGATGCATTTTTTTTTAAATTTAATCAGATATAATATTCAAATAATATTCGTAATATTCTTGCTTGATTACCATTGTTTATATAGGAAATTAGTTTTTTGGTATATTTTCATACAATTTACACATATTTTCGAAACTAGCGTAATTTTGAAGTGATAATTTTTCAACAATCATTCATTAAAAAAGGTCTAATATACGAAAATGCAAAATGCTTCATGGGACATTGAAAATAAAACTTTTTTACACAGGGAGAGACCACTGAAAAAATCTCTTTGGAACAAAATGAAGCAGCTTTTAGCATTGCCATTTGTCGTTTCAATAATTATGGAGATCAGTGGTTTGTTCTTGTTGGGGTCGGACATGATCTTCAACTCAATCCAAGACAGGTTAAATCCGGTGAAATCCACACTTATAAGTTCAATGAAGAAGGCACGTCATTGGAACTTGTCCATAAGGTATTTTGATTTTCTGTAATTGTAATTGAAAATAGACAAATGCATTCAAAATTTGGTATATTTAATGTAATTAATGCTTGATTGGAAAATTTTTGAAGTGGAAACATGTATATGTACTTTTTGATAACTAGAAATATTGTATGTCGGCAAAAACGATCCTCAACTCAAATTTCTACTTTCTAATTTGGTTACATAATTTTATGTTTCGTAACATGTAAAGTGTACATTTGGTTGAATATTTATTCTTATAAATTTTTAATTGTGATGCATTTTAATAAAGTACATTCATGTAATAAATGTAAGCTTTTTTTCAATATACCTCTAGAGAGAACATAACTTTTGTGTACAATCATACACAAACAGAAGTTAAACTGTTGAAATATTTTTGTGGAAGTAATTAAGAAATTTATGGTTTCTGTTTTCTTTTGTCACATCTTGTATGTACTTGAATTCATCTATCTTCTTTGTGTTTATTTTATGTTATTTATCCCAGACACCAGTTGATGAAGTACCACAAGCTATCTGTGCTTATCAAGGAAGGGTATTGATTGGTGTTGGAAAATTGTTACGTGTTTATGATCTTGGAAAGAAGAAACTATTGAGAAAATGTGAAAACAAGGTGGCTACTTTTTATTATGTTTTTTGATGTAAGATCACAAGACCCACTCAAAAGTTTGAATTGTGACCAACCACTGAGTGCTGATGGTATAAGAGTATAGAGTATTGCATATAAGAGTATAGGCTCAATTTTTCTTTGGCCATTTTATCTGTGACAAATAATGAGATAACCGAATTCACAAGTCTCAATATGCTATTAGGAATGTATAGGTTTAGACCAGAGATGGGCAATTATTTTGCCTTGCTTGAAAATATGAGATTTATGTTTTGCACTAGTTTTATTAATTGTGTTTCGAATGAAATGTCTTAAAACGAACATTAGATATAGTACTTCGTTGGAAATTGGAGTACTCTGTGCGGCTCCCAAAATTCGTTGCGTGACCCCCAGTTTGGGAGGCCCTGGTTTGCAGCACTGTATGAAATAAAGTTTTAAAACACCTTATAAAGGATTTTATATTTTTTAGCACATTCCAAATCGCATTGTCTCATTGCACGCTATCGGACAACGTGTTCTAGTTTGTGACATTCAAGAATCCGTGCACTGGGTTCGTTACAGAAGATCGGAGAATCAACTCGTTATATTTGCTGATGATACTTATCCAAGATGGGTTACTTCTGCTACTTTACTTGATTACGGCACAGCCGCTGTCGGGGACAAATTCGGGAATATTTGCATTGTAAGTAGCAAAGAGAAATTTTTTTTGTTTTCAATCAATATTATAAACGAGAATATCGGTCAGAGACCGGTTATCAGACTTATCGATCGAAAGTTAGGGGATCTCCCAAAACAGCTCTCTCACTCCATAGTGACACTTTGTGTCCCATCACTATTTAATTAATAACTCGCTTATTATATGATGAATGCACATGTAAAATTTAGAGCAGATTCGCTTTCGTGAGATATCGCGTGTATCTAACAGACAGACAGACAAACAAATACCGATCAAGATCGATAAGTAAAAGTGTTAGGAGATTAACATTGGCAATTAGACCCTTTAAGATCAACTTTGGTTTTTCTATCACATTAGCAGTTTCACTGGTTTGCCAAACTTACGAATGATTTTTAATTCCTGATTATATGTTGAACATATTTTCATTCTAAATTAATTCACTTCGTATAGCTTCGTCTACCATCCGATGTGAATGATGATGTACAAGAAGATCCAAGTGGCACAAAAGCATTGTGGACGAGAGGATTGCTTAATGGTGCATCACAAAAGGTAAAAAAATAATGTTTATGTTGGAACTTTGGTCTGTAGTTACCATCCACAGTGGAAAGATATTAGTAATTATAGGCACAAATGAGTTCACTCGATTAGGGCTGGCAAAATGTTCGAATATCTGAATGGCTATATTACTCTACGAATATCCGGTACCACATGATTTGCGTCGCTAAATTCGTCACTTGAATTCACCCACAGCTGAATAAAATTAATTTGGGTTTCTAAAATCTGTCGCGGATTTGAACGCACATGCATACAAGAAATATAAAACTGATGTCCTCTGACCCACAAGAATTATTACTTTCCATAAAAGAGAAAAGGCGGGAATATAGATTAAGGATGTCGCCCATCGAAACAATCGCAGTGACAAAAACAATCAGCCGTTATGACAGGATTAAAAAACGCTTTGTTTCTATTGGTTTCCAATGAGAGTATCACCCTCCTGTTGTGTATAAAAAGTATTCGTTATTAGTTGAAAATATTCGATTTTGCCCCGCCCCCATAAATAATGCACCTGTATATCAAGTTCCTTCAGCTGTTCAGACCTAAACAGTATTTCTTTACTTAACTTTAACATCATTAACTTTTTCAGTGCGATGTACTTTGTTCATATCATGTTGGTGAGATTGTACTTTCATTACAAAAAGCAACTTTGATTCCTGGTGGTTCGGAATCTTTAGTTTATACAACAATATCTGGTGGAGTTGGGATGCTGGTGCCTTTCACTTCTCATGAGGTAGGTTGATCATAAATAAATAAGCAGTTGTGTTGGTAGGTACTTCAAAAGTTGAAATAATTTGATAAATTTTCATGCACGAACTCGTAGACCAGACCCTTTCCATTTGGGTTCGCTGGAGAAACAATTAGAATTCCAAGATGAACCAATACCCCTTTACTCAACTCAGTTACGCTTCACACCTTGGATATTATTAGATTGCAGAGATTTTATTTACATTTAAAAGTATTCAAATATTCCTTGAAAAAGAATTGATCACCCAGTTATGTTGATATATTTCAATAAATTGACTTTTTAACTGATAAACTGTTTTCTTTTGAAGGATCACGACTTTTTCCAACATTTGGAAATGCATATGAGAAATGAATCATCGCCGTTACTAGGTAGAGATCATCTTGCCTACAGATCGTTCTATTTTCCACTCAAGGTAAGTTTTTATTGTCACAATGGCTAAAATATTTCCATATTTTCAATGATCTTCCTTTGACTTATTCTAGAATGTTATTGATGGAGACTTGTGTGAATTGTTCAACTCGATGGACAGTGCCAAGCAGAACAGTGTTGCTGAAGAACTGGATAGAAATCCTGCCGAGGTATAGTATAAGTAATAATAATATGTCGTCATCTCATATTATAGTAACATTTTTATTGGCTTATATGGTTCACAACCAATACATGGAATAACCTGTACTTTATTAATCAATAATTTGATTTTTTCTGATAAAAAACGAGTTTTGTTAATAATGCTAATTCTTTTTAGGTTTCCAAAAAATTGGAGGACATCAGGACCAGATATGCATTTTGAAGAATAGAAGCAATTCAATTAACACAAATATACTGTGACGCTATGAATGTGTGCCTTGTAGCAACATACCTCGCTAAACAAGCATCAGATTCCAATGTTCTAATCAAGAATCGAAAATTCGCTTGCAAACTTTATCAGCTACCTTAATAAATTCTTTCGCCTGTAAAAAAGAAACAAACTAAGAGTCTGTACCTGACACAATTTATTGCTTTAGTTATCGCATTACAATGGACATTCCAAGATAGATAATTATGTGTAGGGTAATCCAGGTTCTTTGAAACATTTCAGAGTAACATGTGGTACCCAACCTTTTATGGCTCGTGGCCCCCTGTTTATCATTTATGGTGATTCAAATCCCATTATGTTTAAACAATTCATGCTCAACAAAGTGAAAACACCTTGTCAAGCAATGAAACGAGGAAGAACGAGTTTTCTTGTCAAAAGTGAAACGTAAAATCAGATTTGGCCCCATGGTTGGGAACTGCTGCTGTAGATGAAAAAGAAGTGTAGAATTCATTACCCTTCTTTAAAGATAATTGTGTTATGCAGCAAAAAAATGGTTCATGTGACAGCTATGTTATTTCCAACTGCTCTCGCTATATTTAGAAAATGATACGAAATTAATATACCAGACTTACTTGATCACTTTCTGGACTATTTATTGTTATCGGTACTCCTCTGTCTGAATCTACACAAATTTGTGGATGAAGTGGAATATTTCCTGTTATGAATTGAGATATCCAATATCAAGCAGGTTAGGTAAACTGCAAATCGAACTTTTAAAAATTGGCACAAACCTAAAATGTCTATCTTCATTTCAGTTGCCAGGTTCTCCAACATTCCAGTACCAAATATATTGGTCTTTGTTCCACAATTTGGGCAACAGAACACACTCATGTTTTGTATTATCCCATAAACCTGAATTGAAGAAATTTACTTTTTAATGTCCATCAATGTACAGTTTTAAAATTATGTATGTGAAATAAAATGTGAATACTAACTGGCACGTTGACTTTATGAAACATCTCTGCTCCTCTACGAGCATCTGAAAGGGCGATGTCTTGAGGAGTTGATACAATTATCGCACCTGTGAACGGTATTGGAAGCTTTAACAGCAGCTGGGCCTTTATTAACTATATTTTCTGCATATTTAGATATCAAACTTAGCTGATGCTCTCTCTGAACTTCACTCTTGTCATGTATGCTGTGGTCCAAATTTATTTAAATGTTTATCAATGCTGTTCGCTCTGGGCAAGGCCCGGTGCATACCAAACTTATTACACTCGGAGTGAGATGGTGGGCATGGGATTTAAACCAGAAATGCCAACAAAGTTAAGCCTAATGCTTTACCAGCTTATCCATCATATCGTCGTTAAACAATACATACATCAATCAGCTAATAATACTTATGACAGAATAGAATTCATTTAACCAATTGGTATTAGTAGCCATGTATATAATCGGACTGTCAGTGTGCTGTCAGTAACAACCAAACCTGTTACTGGTACGTTCTGTGTTATTGAAAGTTGCACGTCCCCTGTTCCAGGTGGCATGTCTATTACCAGGATATCAAGAATTCCCCAGTTGACCTGAAATTGATCGTAAACTCTTAGCATAGTATGAATTGGTGGAAATCTAAAATGAATATCTATTATAAACTGGAGATGATCTTTTATGAATAAGGAAAAGGCAACCTGTCTTAGTAGTCTCTGAATAGCTTGCATGACCATCAGACCCCTCCATACTATTGGAGATTTCTCATCAACCAAGAATCCCATAGACATGCTGTACATAAGTTAAAATAATTTGTTTATCGTTATTATGAATACTCGACGAAATTGCAACTTGGGAGGCATTGACCAGACCCAAAATAAATTAGAAAATGCTCGTTGTTTTTTGTTCAAACTCGATCCAATTGCGTTGCGTATCGCCAACAAGATGCGAAATCTATTCAGAAAGAAATAGTTTACTTGAACTCACCAAGGAATATCATAGTTTGTCAAAGGGACCATTTTGTCATCTGAAAAATAAAGAATTTGAATTATACTTCAAGTCTACTTGCCTAGATTATATCTAACATTCTCTCCTATTCTGAAATATTTGGAAAGACCCCTGTTTGTGAATGCATTCAAAACTATTGTTACACTTAACCTTACCTTGAGTCAATTCTGGGTTTCCTTTTAAATTCATTAATTTTGGAATTGATGGACCATAAATATCTGCATCCAGCAAACCAACTTTAAAATTCTGAAAAATATGTTACATGAAAATATTTGTAAAACAGCAATGCAAATGCTGATTTGAAATGTTGACAAGCGAAATGAGTAATGAAATATCTATTACATCTTAAATAAGATGATCACGTTTCATTGAAAATACCTACATTTTTCAAGGATTTCATTGCACAAGCCAGATTCACAGCCACAGTTGATTTTCCAACACCTCCTTTTCCAGAAGCCACAAGAAGAATATTTTTGACACCATCAATTTTTTGTACTTTGGGAAGTCCTCTTCGCATCATTTCTTTTTGTCTCTCAGAATCATCCTTTTCAAAAAATAACAATTCAGTTTTTTCGTAATTCAGTAATTGGAATGTTGCATATATGCGCTAGATTCGTTAAATAGTAAAAGCGAAAATTGATTATACTGTACTTCATTAACATATTACAATTACTGTATTACTAATATTATTAGAGTTAGGTTCTTATTACAGAAAATATTTGACTCTAATGAGCGAAAGTGCAGTCTGGGGAGTCCAATTTCACCAGAATAAACAATCAAATGCATCACTATTGTAATTCGTCAACTCTTTTCGAATTGATGCAGTGAGTGCTGTACGATATTGTTGTCAGACAACCGCTACCAGTACAGAATATATGGTAATTTTACCTTTTTGTGGGTGCTATATATTCTTATTGATGTCTTCTTCGCTGGTCTACAAATTGGTACTAACTTGTTAGCACTTTTCCAAAACATATTCAAAATAGTTATAAACATAACACAACGACATCACCTGACTAAAATTCTGTAACTCGGAAACAAACGTGAACAGCAAATTCAAAACAGATATTGCGCAATCCGCTACGCTTTAGTGAACATGAAATTAATTCACGAGATGGCAGAATGAATTCGTAATGGTGTCTTGGACGAAGCGTCTCTGACACCTGAACACCAAAATGTTTACTTAGCCACCTTCCTCGTTACTGCATCAGCGAATCGAACAATGATATCAGTGTGTAGCCAAATTAATTACAGTAATAAAGGCAGTCGGCGAAACTGTAAACGATTTAACGCAGCAGCAAGAGTAAAGCATTGTGTACGGTACTTTTAGTTTTTACCCATGCCTGCATGTGAGTGCTTTTTGATTTTGAACGTGAATGGTCAGATTATTATTTTATGCTTGATGCTGGGATGGGATCAGGTAGACATAGAAATAACTAGACTTGAAAAAAATTGAAAAACCATCAGGGAGACTTGACTTGAGGCTGAAGAGCTATGCTCAAATATATGGACACGTTTGAAATGAATGAAAGTAGGCTAATCGCCTTCTAAAGAAAAATTTTATATTTAACCACTGAAAATTTTAGAGCAATTGGTCCAGTAATCAAACAGAAAAGCGACTTTTTAAAAACGTGTCGAAGGACAAGAACAACAACAATATATTGAAACGACCGTTTGGTCTACTAATATCGAAAATTGACTAGATTTTTTATTGTGATAGGTCCCTTTGATTTATATGAAAAATCTTAGTTTGTTGATAAAATCGACTATAATTTGAACTAGATACTCAAGACACATGCAACTCAGCTTGACTTCCAACCTGGGAGTTCAGTGACTCGACTTGCAACCTGAACTTATGGTTCCTTTCACCTGTGACTCAAGTTGACTCTGGTTGTGAATTATTTTGGTCGCATGAACATGTGACCCAGATTCGTACTTTCCAAGAATGCTTTGTTATAAAATTAGCACTGATCAATTTTAATAAAAGACATAGCCATATTTTATTCACCATAAATTGGTGCCTTTTCATAGTGGTAACTTCTTTTTGATTGGGAATCGCTAAGGCAAAAACTTTCCAAAAATGCTTTGTTATAAAATTAGCACTGATCAATTTTAATAAAAGACATAGCCATATTTTAATCACCATAAATTGGTGAATTTTCATAGTGGTAACTTCTTTTTGATTGGGAATCGCTAAGGCAAACAAAAACTGCTATATCTTGCTTCTAGGCTAGATTGAGGTCAAATCATACTGGAGTTGATTTGATATACGGTATGCTTCGTATTTTGTGGTAATAGGCAATAATTTAATCATTTTGTTAAGTAATGCCGATATGTCTGTATGTGGATTCAAAATCTATACATGAACAGAGAGGGAGAGAGACTTTGACTATTTTGTCAACCAGTAACATGAAATGGTACAATAAAATCTATAGGAATATGCAAGGTAATTTGATATAGAACATTCACATCTTTAGTTGGATGTAGTTTACTGTTGTATGACTCCTCTTCAAGCTAACTAACATATTATTCAATTGCCAAGCAGAATATGATTATATAATACAATTTGAGCTCAATATGGTTTTGATACTTTTACACCTGAAACAGGATATTCATAAATATATAGATGCAAATATTATTGAAAGTCATTAAGAAAAAGTTGAAAGGACAATTTGGATTAAATAGTTAACCAACAACAATTCCTATTTCTTTTCATGTTCATAGTTAATTAGGTGCATATTGACTTAACAAGTTTATTACATAATACTTGATGTTATAATAGATATTAGAAGTGAGGGCCACAATATTTTTGGTATATGACAATACATTTTATAAAATATGAAACTAAACTCTACATTTGTGGTTAATTTGACAATTATGCTCTGAGAAATATACTAATTATAATTTAATAATGTGGCTTCGAAATACCTCCTTATATTGCATTGTGCAAAACAATAAAATGATTAAGGCCCAAATATATTTATTTGAAAGGAACTTTGGTTTGAGGTACGGTAGAATATAGATGTCAAAAAAACTGAAGATAACAGAGAAATTTCGTTTGAACATTCAATTTGTCATTTAATAGAATAGTTTCCTTCAATTTTCGAAAAAAACTACTTTTGATAAAATACCATATGAAACATACTAATTTTGTAAAGTTTTATTGACCATTAAATTGTGAATTCAGCTTGCAAATTACATGAGAATGCTATTAATAATTAATGAATAGTAAACAAGGATTTGTATGAATGAATGATACAATATAATTCTAATGTTACTGCACAAAAGTCTTTACAACTTCTGAATTAGTGATTATAATACTTTGTAATCGATATTGCAATATCGAAAATACTTACCAGAATCGAAATTAATCTTGATATGCTGTGATTTTGGACATACCTCATGTGATTACACAGTAGGCTGTCATTTTAGGCTGTTGCATAATTTCATTGTGCACTCAAGACAATTCACTGGTGTATAATCCTTTGTTGTCTCTATGCTATTGGATTTTATATACTATGTGTAATATATCTTGATTGAATTTGACATGCTATCGTCTATTGTGGAGTTATCATATTACTGACATAATTGATAGTTGTATTTGTTACATCTTATACTGTGTTGTACTCAATTCAAGCATTTCTTGTTGCCATCCGTTATAATACATGAATGTATCTAAAAAGAATTTGATGACATTTACGATAAACTTCCTGTGAAGAGTTTCACATAAAATATTTATTGGTTCAAATTTGTTGTTTTCACAAAGATGTCAAAACATATCTAAAATAACGTTGCTTTCAATTATTTTTTGATCATTTTTCTGGATTTTAAATATTTTCAGAATGCTTCTAGTTTATAGAACATTTTTAAAATATTTGATAATTATTTAGATTTTTACACTTTCGAATATATAGGGTTCTTGACTGAATTCCGTTGTATGCTATTGAGTCTAGGGATGGCTAAAACAGGATATTTCAATATTACGAATCAATTCTGAAATAAAATTCTAAATCGGGAGCATGTTTATGTGGAAAATTACATAAATCACTATATATAGGGTTCTTGACTGAATTCCGTTGTATGCTATTGAGTCTAGGGATGGCTAAAACAGGATATTTCAATATTACGAATCAATTCTGAAATAAAATTCTAAATCGGGAGCATGTTTATGTGGAAAATTACATAAATCACTATATCTTGATATTGATCACATCTAAAATGACTTGATTGTAATGGTCATTGTTTTCTCTGCGTTGGTCGTTACCAGCTGAGGTATCTTATGTTCCGATTTACTTGTCTGACGACTCAAAGTCCCTTTTTTTTCAAATAAAATATTTTATAACATTCTTAAATTTGGAATTTTTTGAATAATATTACAATCCATTTTGATCATTACTTGTCATATACCTTTTTAATAATAAATAGGTGCTCTAAATTTTTCTATATTATCAATAACCACCATGTGGCAAACATTTCAAATTATACTCAAATTTTCAAATAATTAGTTTTTAAATATATTGTCAAATACAAATACGTGTTTTTGAATCAAAAACTATTTCAAAAGGGTATGCTGTACCTGTATCACGATTCCGGAAAGTTTTTTTTCATTGTGTAACGTTAAATTGATTTCGTTCTGGGCATGCCTGTTATCAAAATTTCAAACTCCTTGGAATATGCTATATTAAGCTCATTGCAGTTAGTTTTTAAGAGTGTCTCAATTGACAAGCATGTTTATACAACATTCATTTCTGTGATGCGAATGTTAATAAAAATTATTGTGTTTGCTTCATAATCCATTTTATAAACTACAGTCTTCTTGAGCCGATCGTATTTAATAAGAATTAAGAATTTTGTGAATAGGTTCGACATAACAGGTGGTTTGAATAAGTTTGATGTTGTTATAGCAATCTTTGATGTGTTCACGGAGAACATTCTTCATGGGCTAATAATCTCATGGTGTGGTTTTACGCATGATCTTCAAGTGTCGGATAATTCTTAAGTGCTGACTGCTGATAAGCTTTAACTATTCAAGTGTATCGAAACAGTTTATTGATGATGTATTCATATTTACCAAGTTCGATGGGTTATTACTTATCGATCCCGATAAGTATGTTAATTATCGATCTCGATAAGTATGTTGAGGTATTTGTTTGTCTGTCTGTTTGTTTGTCTGTTAGATGCACGCGATATCTCACGAAAGCGAGGTTGGATCTGCTCCAAATTTTGCATGTGCAGTTGTCATATCAGAAGCCTATTGATTTTGGATGAATTACCGTATGTCGTATGATTAGCGAGTTATCGATTAATTAGTGATGGGACACACAGTTTTGCTACAGAGTAAGAGCGAATGAATCGAAACCGCAGTTTCTATTTTGGGGGATCCCCTAACTTTCGATCGATAAGTCTTCGGTCTTAGACCGATATTCTCGTTATTTCATATTGCTGGTGTTAACAGAATATGAGCACTTTTTCAGACATGTGTAAATTCCCATTATAAAATTTGACCAATTTTTTGTTGCACAATATGATAATATCTTGGTATGGCACTAATTACATTCTTTTAAATAGGTTTTGTAGTTATTTTCATAAATGAATAATAGAATAAAGTTATGGAAACATCCTTTTCCCAGCATAAATTTTTCAGCACAGTATTACCGATTGATTTTCATTAATAATGTGCCTGTGCAAGGCTTAAAAAGGGTAAAAAGTAGACAATTTTTGAAGGGGGGGGGGGCTGATTGAAAAAAAAACTACTTGTTAGATTTGATCTTGCCCGCCTTATTTTAGATACATTTCTTTATTATCTATCTAATCTTGTTAGAAAATGCCTTGACATGTTCATTTCTGTCTGTTTTACCTTTCTCCTCATTTTTTAAATTTCTCAAGTTTATCAAAGTGAGTAGTTTTACCAAATAGTACCATAAAACAGTTCGATAAAATATACGGTAGTATTTACTTTTACCAAAAATATTGTTTAAAAATAATATAAAATTTTCACTTGAAATACCAAAATTGATTAGTTCTTATCTTCATTTTTTCTGTTATTTCAGCTCCTAATGGTCTTAGTTGTAATTGCCTCTTGGCGTACATTGTTGATTTTTGACTGAAGTCAATAGTACTTGACTGCTTGGCTATTCAACACCCACGATATTGGCCGTTGTTAAACTCAAAGACTAACAGAGACAATGGCTCAGAATGGAGTACATAAACCCAGGCTTTGTAAAGTAGTGAAGGGAGAAGATGGATACGGTTTTCATTTACATGGAGAAAAGGGAAAAGTAATTCAACATTTTTTAACAATTTTGCACTGACGTATCCATAGCAACAACCAACAATTGAATCTGTCATTTATTGAAATTACTTTTTTGAATAAATGGGGTCTATTCACTTTTATTAGGCTTGTTTTGTATGCTATTAATCTGAATTGTGATTTCATTTAATATTAATCTAGTAATATTTGGTTAAATTGACTATGCCATTTTAATTTGATATTTTATGATCGATATTTTTCAACGTAGAAAAAATATTATTATACCAGGTTCTATTACCTATATTCTTCTGATAGATAGCATTTATTACAACTAAATACTTTAGCTGATAATTTTTCACCTATATGGATTTTGATAGATAAATTTTCATCTATATACAATGATTTTCATATGCTTTTACTGATTGTTAAATATAAGTCTAGGCCATATTTGAACTATAGATGTATCATGCCTAAGATCCATTCTCTTTGAAGCTCATTCTCGAATATTTTAATGATTATTAACTAATCTTTTACATAATTGTTATTTAAAAGGTCGGACAAAGAATACGAAAAGTAGAAGAGGGAAGTGCGGCAGAAATTGCAGGATTAAATGTGGGAGACAAAATTGTTTGTGTCAACGGTCACAATGTGGAAAAAGAATCTCATCAAGAAGTTGTCAAAAGAATCCGAGAAAGAGATAATGAAACTGAAATGTTAGTCGTCGATGAGGAAGCAGAAAAATATTACGAGGTTCGCTAAATAAAAAATATTTCAGAAATAATAATAAGTACACTCACTTCTAGCTCTGTATGCTGTCTTCCGTCAGTTTGCTGTCGATGTCCATCGGTTTCTATTTTGACATCTTATATTAATGGTTTCTGTGCCGAATGCTTTTTGTTACTTTCCCATCTTTAATTTAACTTTCTTATGTAATCTTGAATATTTTCTGGCTGACGTCTTCCTTTTGACACTTAAAGTTGAATTATAATGATCTAAAGTAATTCAGTGCGACTGCTGCCACATTTTGAACCATCTTAAAATCAGATTGTTTTGAATTTTTTGTGAGTTGAGAAATTCATTTTTAAGTAATTTTGTTGTTGTTTATTGAGTGTGAGAATAATTATATGTTTGTTGCCCATTTTTTCATTATATGTGACACTAAGAAAATCGTTAACAGAATAACCTGGGAAAATTCTTTTGATTATTATTTTATTGAAATTTATTGTTATTTCATGATATAATTCTATTGAAATAATTCATTATATCTTAGCGATTTTCAACTCACACAAAAAGATGATCCTTAAATTGTATGTTCGATTGAATTTCTGGATAATTAAGTGTCTTACGTCAGGAGATTTCTCGTTGAAAAACCTACGCTTCATAGCAGTTGAAACCATTAATTATATAGCTTCAAATTAACCCTTTTTTGAACAGACATTTATTACAATTAGCATGATAATGGTCATACTAACATTTTTCTTGTGATTGCTTGTTTTTTGGTTCACACACCGTCAAAATATTGAAAATTTATTCATGTGGGTGACTTGATGAATTGCAATTTCACTTTCTAAAGTCTGTTTTATAATATTATAATCTAAATTATTTTCCTAAATTTACTTGGTACAGCATGGGTTAATATAGAGATTCTGATATATGTGTAACTGGTATATATATTTATTTCTCACAGGAAAAAGGCATTCCAATTACGTTAGATTTACTGTCGAATGGAACAAGTGAACAAAAAGAAGTTGAGACTCAACAATCAGATAGTAGCAGTGTTTCACAGGAAAGTAGCAAAGCCGTTGAAAATAATGTGGCAACAAATAATGTTACTGAAACAAAGGTAGATTTTGTTTTAATTGTAACTATTCTTTTTAGTGTTACAGATATATTTAATAATAAGTGTTATTGTTAGGACTGTTTAAGTCGAAATATTAATTTATTGTTGGATTGTAACGAATTGCAGTTCCCATGATGAGAAGACTGGTTAAAGTAAGTTTGATTAATGTTCTCAAAAATGTTCATTAAATTATATATGCTTTACTTGAATTTCAATTCAATTTTCAATATGGTCATAATTGCCAATGCTTCGTAAATATTTAAAGTTATGGTTTGGGTAGAAACTGTTTAAAGATGAAGTAATAGTTATGTGGGCGCTCCAGAAGTGTGTGTACCAATATGGAGGTAACTAATTTTGTTGTCTACTTTACATCAACAAGTTGTGTGAATGGACTCAAACCTATGGTCAACACAGATAGTCCCCGAACTCGTAATTGAACTGAAATAAGGAAAATCTGAATAAAATTATGGCTTAACCCTAACCTGGTACACACACTATGGGTGTACCGTTTTGTGGAAGTTTTTAAGTCTAAAATTAAGAGAAAGCTTTAATAAACAGGCCTCAATTATGATGTCACATAGAGCTTGGAACAAATTTTAGAAGTTTTTCTTCATCTTCGTAAATTCGCATTTTGTTTCTATGATTTTTAATCGAGTTATCTTAAATACGAAACTTTCTAAGATTTGTACTTTAATTGCATCTAATTTCAATTTATCCATGGATCAATGTACTTTCTGTACTGACAACTGTTCTACCATATTTTGTGCAGTTTTTTGGATTCAATTTCAAAATTTTCAGGAATTTAATCAAGTATGTTGTTTAACATGTCTGATGGATAATCACTTCCCCAGAATGTATTTACTTGCTTTTCTGATGTCAAACATCACAAGAATGTTGTCTAGAAATTTGGAACATGCGTAATTTAGTATTAAGAATACAGGAGCTTTAAATTTGTTTTCAGTTAGATTAGAATTTCATGCTATGAAGGTGTTTTGATATAAAAAATCACTCTTTATCTCAAGTTTGCCTGGAAAAATGTTTTAAAAAAGATTGTGTAGAAGTTTATTAATAATGTGTTTTTCATTGCGTCGTACAGTTTCACTAATTGAATGGTTTGTAACAAATTGTGCTAAGTAATCTTGAATATACTAACATGTCAATTTATGTGTATTTTTTGTTTTTTATATAAGCCATTTAGATACTTAATTCTAAAATTTCTTGTTCAGTTTTGTAATACTCAAATTTATCAGATACTTGGTTGCCATGGTACTGTATTATCCCAGTCTTTATAATAACTTGATGGTTCATGAGGCATTGAAAAAAAACAGTCACAGAGCTCCAAATGTTCTATAATTTACAGTTATTTTATATGAAAGTATAATACAATTTTATATCAGTCTTAGTACAAATATTGTTATTCAATACTAGGTCATATCTGCCGGAGGCCGGTTCTATCAAAATTCCTTCAGGGCCATTTGCGTAAACAGACTGGGCTGTCCTAACTTACTAATCTCAAGTACCCACAGGCAATTTAAAGAGTAATGTTCTCTTTAAATTTTTGCTCTCATTGTTATGGTTTATATATGCTACAATTACTTTTTGAACCATAAAAGTGAGCGTATTATAGGACTATTATATATGAGAAATCTTTTAATACATCAATCATAAATGTAAATAAATTGTCAGTTGGGAAGATAAAACAAATTTTTTTTTTAGGGAACACTGCTAAGAAAATTGAAATCTTTTGTAATAAGAGGATGTGTTGAAATCAATGCTTTCAATTGGTTTACATAAACCACCATTGTTTGATTTTGGCATACTGACATTATGTTATCATTCTTGTTTAATGTTACAAATATTGTTACTGGATACCTATGTTACCAATGAATGGATTAAATGTTGATGATTAAATATGTTTAGTAATATACATTTATATGTTGACAACACAGAATTATCCACACCACGCCTACAATATCGTTGTTCTTGTTTTAAAATTATAAGCCATTTATTCGATTTTTAAATTTTTTGTTCCCAAAAATGGAAGAAGCTAAATTTTCACTTAGTCATACTAATATTTCACCATAAATTTGCTTTTCTGTTATAATTTATGGGCGTATCTTAAATGACATTTGGTACAATTCTTTTACTATTAATCTGGAATTTTGATCACATTGTAGAAATCATTTGATTTCGTTTCCATATACTTGAGTTTTGATCAAAACTTTTGATGTGTATAACCAATTTTTTTTATATTTAATTTCCATTTTTATCACCTTATCTATATTTGATACATGTTATTATCATATTAGGCTAAAATCTTTCATAGCATAGTAAGCAATCAACAACTTTGTTCATAACACGAGCTGTGCTTTAAAAGTGAAATTATTTGAAATAATATATTTGTTGAATGTCAACTAGTTCATTGTTTAATTATTTAGTCGGTGAAATTTGATCTGGTAGTAGATGCCATTTAATTCTACACCCACGTGTAGTTATTTTACTTATCTGTTATTTAAATCTTGTAACCTCACTTACTCTAAATTGAAAGCCGGTTTGTCATGACTACGATGACCTTTTAATACTATATTCAAAAATGGTGAGTGGCACCGTGCAATAGGTTCTTATCAAAAAATTAAAGGACGTAAACTCAATGCCCTCTGGCCAGTTCTAACAAGAATCATATTGCTTGTCGTTTTAAAATCCTGTAGGATATTTGTTGATCATTTATCATTCACGATATTATTAGTATTTCTTGTAAATGAATAGGAGCTATTGTAATTTGATTGTAATAGCCTATTCAATAGTTACTTCTTGGTGTTTGAATTTGATAAATAGAATATCAATTTTACAGTTTTTGTTAAATACTATTCAAAATCTGTAATTTTGAATTGCTAATACAATTTTTTACAAAAACAGTGAAAACCGTGAAAAATCTTCAAAAACAGTGAACAACTCCTATTAAAATAAAAACCTTGCAAAAACACTGAATACTATACAATGCGATAACTGTCTTTAAAAACTTCTGAAATAAATTTTCAACCACATAAAATTTTAACAAATTGGCAAAATTATTTTTTTATTCCAGACCTCTGCTGGTGCAACCGAGCTGAGGCCAAGACTGTGTAAATTGCAAAAGGGTGACAGTGGGTATGGATTTAACCTGCACAGTGAAAAAGGAAAACCAGGAAGATACGTTAGATCTGTAGATCCTGACTCACCTGCTGCAAATGCAGGAATGAAAGCTGGAGATCGGATTATTGAAGTAAGTTGAAGTATGCACAAAAAGCTTGTTTCAGAAACATATTTCGAAAGGTTAGACATAAAGGGGACATGAATGTTGAAATTTGGAAAAACATTTATTTGGAAAAATTACAAAGAAATGGATGTTTATTTCAAGATGGTTTTCTATATAAAGTTTAAAATGATATTCACCAAAATATTTCAATAAAAGGTATTTAAAAACAAAAAATTTATGTTCTTCTCATTTGTTCAAAATGTTTTTTTAACTATCTACTTTTTAAGTTAATAAAGCTCGCAAATAGATTTTTCATTTATTTTCAAAATCCAAGAAGAAAAAAACGGCATATGTATGTTTGTTGGTAGATATATAGTGCATATTTGTGGTATTTGTGACATTGAATGAAGCAGGAAATTATTATTATTGAATCAATTCAATTTTCACGGTGACAATAGTAATCGTTGGTGGTCTACTGTTTCTAAGGTTTAAATCGTGTAGTTGCTTTCCTTCTTTCTTTGCATTTTGAATTTTTATAAAAGCGTTATTGCGTTTGGTGAAATTTTAGGCTTAGTAAAATTACTTCGAAATGCTGATTGCTTCTTTGCGGCCAAATTTTTATGTTTGGATTCATGTCTTTTCAAAAAATCATTGGTTAAGAAATATTCAATTATTCATTCTTAAATAAACATGTGACATTCATCAGTAATTTTACGTTTTCTTTCTAAAAGTGTACATGAGTCTACTATTTTAATAAAATTAGAAAATTAGCAACAGCACCATGTGTCATATTTTGTTCTAAGTGTTACAAAACAATATACAATTAAATTTTTTTTTATTGGAATATTTTGAAAAAATTCAAGAGTGTTTCTGTTCAAAATTTGTTATTATAACGTAGGACAAGATGGGCAAACTGCTGTTTACCGGCTGGTTGCGGCTGATAGTTAAAACATAAATATACCTCGATAAATATCAAATTACAATTAATGTCTCCAAACTGCAATGAATAATATAATTTTCATTCAATCAGAAATAAACTTTGTGTTAGTGAACAATTTCGTAAAATTTTCCTTGTTTTAGGACCATCTTATTTACCGGTATATAAAAAGTAACAATTTTTACAGATCACACAAAAGTCATTCTTTCTTCTGGAAATTATTAAAATCTACTCATGCTTTTTTGATGACTACTTTGTTAATATTGAAGGACTTTCTTATTACATATGCTATCTGAACAGTGCATAGCAATACACAGAAGCCGCACCCTCTCCCACTTCACAATCATGCATCAAGCGGATGTTCCTTTATTGACAAAATCTGATTAAACATTAACTAGCTAGGTTATCAAAAGAATCGAGCAATAGGTTCATTGACCTCACTACAGTTCAATTTATTGGCGTGCTCATGAAATATTGCAGTGTGTAAGAACTTTTGTTTGTACCCCTGGGATTGAAACCCTTATACAAATACCACACCCTGTTTTTAGTATGTTTGGTGGATTTGAGTTTTCATTAATTATGTCGATGGAAATTCATAGTCGATCAAGTTTGAACAAACCAACCTTGGTATGCTTTATTATATACCGATTATATATATATGGCCGAACGTGATACTTTTTTAAATATTGTATATTTGTCCTTTGTTGTACAATCGTTTCAAGGCTGTCTGGCACGCGTTTTATTAATATGAATAAGTGATGGAATGTCAAACGTTCACTTGTTCAATTATGCATTAGCTCAAATTCTTATAGTCTATCTTAACCCAAACCGCAAGTATTTATTTCACCAAAAAAGTACTTAAGTGTATCGATTTTAATTTAAATTACCACTAACTTTTTATTAATTGGAAAGTAAATATAATAAAACATCCATTGATTTAATATATTCTCCTCTCATCTTTAATAACAAATAAAAGATGATCTTATCATCATCCTTTTAGATTAGAGTTGACGCCATGATAATTTTTTTCATATTTTTTTCTTTTTCTTGCTCTATATATATCCACTTGTGTCCTTTCCATATCATGCCCTGATGAAGTTTTTCTGTATAGAAATTCGAAACGTCGGCAAATTACATCGTTTTGCTAACACCGGTTGTGCTTCATTTATTATCAACATGAGTTTACCTGGTGGCAATCACGCATTATATGAAAGATGAGTTATCTGATTTAATTTTTATAAGAAAATGGAAAGAATAGTTCTTGTATCTTTCGCAAATTTTATTTTGTAACATTTCATCTGACCTAAGCCTTGAACTAAACGAAAAACTTGTGTGCTATATATTTATGCTAAACCTAAGTTGGGAGTCGTGGGGGTGTATACTTGAAGGAAATATTTCTACGAAAAGATGAATTTTTTTTTATTTGGAGGGGCATTAGTTAATTAAACTGAACTAAAAAGTTTGAAATTTTTCTTTACCAGTAAAATCAATTTTTGCAAAATGCAATCCCCTGCAACTTCCAACTCATTTATTGTTTAGGTCAATGGAACAAATATGGAGTTTGACAAACATGCAAAACTTGTCACAGCAGTCAAAGAATCTGGTGATTCAGTCAATCTGCTTGTAGTCGATGAGGAAACTGATGATTTCTTCAAAAGTTGTGAAGTTACTGTAACTGAAAAGCATCTCACAGGTCCTTTGCCAACACCAAAACCTCCGAAAGGTAAATATTCAATGGCACTTTCACGATACTAAAACTTCAGTGGTTCCCAATAGGTGCGCCAACTAGTGTTCTGCGACGAGTTGTCAAGTGCGCCGCGAAAATTAACAGAATTGTGTTAAATATGATTGGATATTTTACATATTGTATTTATTATAAATGTTTTACCATTTCTTATTTTAAATGCTGTTATATACATCAATAAATTCATTTTGACTTTTTAAGTCGCCTACTTTCTCTTACATAACAATAGAGATAGACACAACTCGCTGCAATTTCAAACATAAGTGATTTTTTTTTAAACTTCAAAGGACCTTTTGCTTCCTTTCCTTAAGCCTGCGTGTTTGCAAACTGGCATAAGTACACATTAACGATCACAAAATTGAGTTATATTTAAAAGCAACATTTCATTTCATGTAAGTGCGCCATGAGTTTTTTCCCCTGATAATTTGGCGCCGCACAAACTAAAAGTTTGGGAACTGCTAACTTAGTTATTCTACATGAATATTGTCCATACATGAAGAATGTATTCAAGACAAATCAACATTACAACAGGTTCTAACAATATAGTTTTTAGAGTAAAAGTAGCAGCTTTGTTCATTAAATATTCATCTGTTTGAGGAAGAATAATATGACAGTATATCCTGTGTCACAACTCGCGCCTATCGGAATCACGAATTTTATTGTTACTTATATCAGTCATTATTGCTTGCCAAAATATGAAGTCATCAGACAGGGCAACACTCCAGTAATTGAATCGATGAGTTGTTGGCATAATACACCCTGTTTATTCAGGCAGTGGTTCCCAACCTTGTTCATCATCACCCACATTTTTTAAATAAATTAACTTTGTTAAAATCATTTTTATAAAATATTTATTTCACAAGAACCGTATCTGATTCATCAAATTGAATTGAATCAAATTAAGACTGCCCTAATCCTTTAGTATCTGTTCGATAACATCGTTAAACATGTCTGTACAAAATTAAATCAAACTAAAAACGCACTATGACAGCTTTTCTCGAACGGTGGGGCATGCCCCACAAGGAAGGTGTAGAACATTTGAGGTGACATGGAACTGATTGAAAATAAGAATATTTGTTAGATTAAATCTTGTCCGCCTTATTTTGCATATTTTCATTTCCTATTTTGTCAGCCCAAAATAACTGCACTAAAAAAATAACATCAAATTTTGCTTATTCATTTCATTATTTATGTTTCATGTACAAATTTTGAATTTTTTTTTTATAAAACACACTTTCTCCTTACCATCTGTTATTCATAGCTTATTGTTAGTCAGTTATTTTTAAGGTGGGGCCGCGAGACTTGATAAATTCTGAAAGGGGGCACGACTTAGGAAATTTAAGAACCTAGTTGCGGCCAAATGTTGAAAAAACACTCTATTAGAGCGTAGGTTGATATTTTTCAACCAATCACATTAAATTGTACTTTTGCAGAAGTTGAACCGAAGGTGGACTTGGTGACAATGGATCTCAACATGTTAAAAGAGCGATCACAATCTGGTAGGAAGAAAAAAGCTCCTCCAACATCTGACTGGAAAAATCGCCAAGCAATGTTTAACAATTTGTAAATATAATTGCTTAAGTTGATTATAAAATTTTTTAAATCACATCTTACTTGAATAGGTCTGAACAATATTTGTATTGTGTTTCCGCAGCACTTTTTATATGGATCATGCTTGTTCGAGTAAAATTGAATATTGATAATTGACACAACATTGTCATATATATGATCAAAATAATTCCGCCGATTGTGACTTATAATATTCATCCTGTAAATAAAATCATCATTTCTTATTGATTTTGACAACGTGCCTGGCCGATTTGAAAATTAGCCATTTATATTCGATTTTGAATTTTACTTTACATACATGATAGTAGTGGATGTGCATCATTAATTGTTCTTTTTGTGATCAGCTCGAAAATGTGCCAGATTTGAATTTCTTGATTTTAGATACATGGATTGCCTTAACATGATAAAAACTTGATAACTTAGCATCATAATCAAGGTGCATGTCACCGAACTTACATATCCCTGTCTAATTAGATATTTAGATTGGTTATGTGTTTTAAATTTTGAACTAAGACTGAATTAATGTGGGACCGACTAGTGCTGAATAAAATTGTATTCATTTTTAGCCATTTCTTGGTAAAAATATCACCAATTTTCCTAGGTTTTGGTCAGAAATATATTGTTGGGTACTATTTTTAAATTAGTTTGTTATGATTGTTTGTTTTTCAACAAGTGAATATGACTCCTCTGGTATAAATTATATTTTATATTGAATATTTTTTGCGCTTTTTGGTACTTCTATATCATATGAACAGTCTACAACACTTTGAGAGTTTTCGTTTGTACAGCAGTACAAGTACTTGTGTTCTTTTTCTGCATGCTACTCTAACTTAAATAACAAATAGGATAGGATAAAAATTTCTTACCAAGTCTAAGACTATACACGACAGAGTAGTTTGCCAGCCCACATATCTTGATAATAATAATAATTGATAATAATTCACACGCAATGCTATGACTAAATGTTAAGCTATCTACATTCAACTGTTTGTTTATTTTAGTCAGAATTAATTCTAGTCTTCTAACTCAGCGGACCGTGACAATCTTTAATAAAATATTGGAGCTGTTATTCTCGAAAACAACTAAATATTGCTGTCTGAGTACCTTAACCCTGACAAGTACATTTCACACTGTAAACAAAATTATTTTTAGTTATTTTGTGTTTTTTTCAAACGGGGTATTGGTATCAGTCAATCTTCCAGTGGAGAATTACAGTCACAGATTGAATGAGATTCCAATGGCTACAATAGGGCAAATTGTTGGTAACTGACGCTCCATGGTGTCCTAATTCGCCGTTTGTTTTGAAAGACACGCTATATTATAGTCAAATGTGATTGAACTTGAGCTATTTTTGCTATGTGTATTGTCCATTCGCCAACTTTATGAAATACCTATATAATTTATAATGAATTTTTAATTTTGTAAAATGAATTGAAATCGCTTTTGTTTACAATCACTGTTCCCAAGCAGAAGATGACATGATCATGTTTTTTTTATTTGCTGAATCAAAATGATTTGTAAATGCTTTAAATAACATGGGCCAAAATATGTTGTGAGGTTATTCTTTGTTTCAGTCTTAACTCCACAGTTTATTCCTAGTATATTATCATATTGTATTTTATCTATTTGAATGGTGCTGAAATGTTTATTTTACAGAGGGCGTATTATAGTTTATCTAATGAATAATGGTATTTCTTTGGTGTTTCAGATCAGCCAATTCTTTATTTTATGTTAATCCATATTTCACCTTGCGTACTAAATATTCACAGTATTGGAAATGTATTCATTGGGATTTAGGGCTACCTGTTTTTTTAAGAGTATTAAAAGGCATGGTTATTGGTACGTTTTGCTGATCTGAGCACTGAACCATTTTTTATCTCAATGAACTGTTATTTTGAATTTTTAAGATAATCTTACATTATTAGGCCGCAATCCTGCAAATCACCATACAGACTGCAGAGTTTTGTAATTAAATCTATTATGATGTTCATATTCCCCCTCATCAGCAGAAACAATTTGAATAAGAATCTCACATTATTGTAATGTTTCATTTGTAATTCATATTTTTTCTTTCAAATGTATTAAATGAGTAGTACATAGTTATGTTCATATCAACATCATCATCTGTAGCTTTATCAATGGTTGTGGAAATGATTACAATTTTGAGTATTCAAATTAAAATGTTTCTATCAGTTGTGTGATTTATTGATGTTGGATAAATTAAAACAGCCCGGGATTATATAAAAATGTCCAAGGCCTCACTGTCCTGTTTGCAGAACTAAATACATTTAGATCCTCGGCGCTTGTACACCAGTGTTCGCAAGCATGGGAGACAGAAACACGGTAGAGTAACCCTTGGCGAATGAACTCTGGTATTGTGAAATCGCGTTTTCTGGCCTATGACCCTTTTGAAGCATTGTTTGGGATTGGGATAGTGAGTATCAATTTTGCATCTTTGACTCTTTGTACCTACGTATGTATGATTAATTGTCTCCAATCTAACATCACCTGCGAAATGAATAATAAGAACAGCAGAGTGCGTCGAAGAAATTTGAATTCGTATACTTTTGTTCATGAAGTAGAAGTAGACCAGAGCGAAGCATTCAGCCGATTCAGTGTGTGTTTGGCTTGAAGTCCTAAACCTTTAGAGCTGCGGTTCTCAACCGGGGGCCCTCGGCCCCCTAAGGGGGCCACAGTGGAGTTGGAGGGGGCCACATGGATGGGCTGAAATCTGAATTTACTTTTTCACTTTAAAAGAAATCTCACAAATTTTCCTAGTTTGCTGCTCAACAAGATTATTTCGCAGGGCGGTTCTCAACCGGGGGCCCTCGGCCCCCTAAGGGGGGCCACAGAGGATGGGCTGAAATCTGAATTTACTTTTCACTTTAAAAGAAATCTCACAGTTTTTCCTAGTTTGCTGCTCAACAAGATTATTTCGCAGGGTGTTTTCGCTCTCTTTCGTGCAAATTGTTTTAACATAATGGGATTTGGAATCTATCAATGAAAATAACCCTATTAATACCTCTGGAATATTAAAGTGGGGGCCATGAGTGCTAAAAGCCTCCGAAAGGGGGCCACGAGTCATAAAAGGTTGAGAACCGCTGCTTTAGAGATTGTAGAGAGAAAACGGGAACGCCAGTATTACTTATATTACTGGCAAACATATTGTCAATACATCTTGTTTTGTTTGATGATCGATACTGTTAACAATGAATCAAAATAATCATTGTCTTAGCCGAGTTACGCTGTCTTATCGCATAGGCATTAATGGAGAAGGGCTACCCTTACTTTTTAAAAAGGCGCATGATACACTGGACATCTGAAAGTGATAAAAAGTTTATAACTTCAGCTCAATGATTAAAACAATGGAAGATCTTAAAAAAATGACTACATTTTAAAAATCGGTCACAGGATGGATTCGTTTATAATTTCTGTATCCGAAGGCTTGCTACAAAGCCCTCGCCACTAATGTGATATTTGGAAAAAAACATCACGCCCGGCGGTTACGTGAACCACCCACGGCGGCGAGGTGTCCAGCAATCCTCTCGCACATGATCATCCCCGCATGAGATTCGTGGGTGAGATATAAGGGTGTTAAAATCCATGGGTTAGGGTTAGTATGGGTTCAAATATCCGTAAAAAAACATTTCCATAGGAGCAATAGTGTGCAAGTGCAATTGTCGTGGGTTCAAATTACGGCTTCATATGTACGTGGGTTCAAATGTAATGGAATCACTTTACAGATTTGCCTTGGGGAGAATTTTTTGTGATTTTGAAGACGAGCTAATATGCGTAGTCAGAGAAAGTATTTTTTGTAAATAGATTCAAGTAACTTGTATTTGCCTTGAGGTCTCTTGTATATTTATTCTATGTATATATATATATATACCGTACTTTTATCATGTTGTTGTTTCCAGAAACAATTGGCATTTGGTTTGGTCAAATGAATCAATTTTGCTGTTTTCGTTTTGCTCCTTATTTAACCTACTCTCATGGCAAATCGTCAACAGCAATATTCTTGGAAGTTGGATGCATCCGAAATTTATACCATAATAAAAGTGTTTTGTCAGGGATTGTGACTCGTCGGGTATGGTAACCCTGATCATCTTGTTTCAACAAAATAACGCAAACGTAGCACAGTGTTATCCAAAAAAACGAAACTCGTAAATTTCTTAATTACTTCTACGAAAATGAAAAAAATATATATATTTATTTTAATTTGTTTGCGCCTGAATGTCTGTTTTTTAGGTTTAGGCTGTTGATGGGCGCTAGGTGTTTCCAGTCACTTCTTTCCGGTTGGCCTTTGCTGCTGCCTTGTTTTCTTTCACATATAATTTGTGTTGCAGAAATCTAGGACGCTTGGTGTAAGGTAAGGTATGTTCTTTTTACCAAATTACCTGCTTAGAATTAGAGACAGACTTGCATCAGTTGCGCAAAATTGTCAATCACTTAGTTCATTTTCTGCTGAAACGCATTTCTTGCTATCAGGACATGTCAATACCAATAATAATGATTATTGGGGTACTGTACAGCACCTCCGAATGCAGTCTTACAAAGACCGTAGCACTCGGTAAAGAACACGACATGGGTAATCATTTCCAAACATGCCATATTCGGTCCGTATCCGTTTGAAGACGAAAATGAAACAGCTTCAACAGTAAATACGGATCGTCAGTGTGTGATGCCAAGAAAGTTCTGGATATCGCTTGAACATTCCGGCCATCGTCGGGTGCGGACCTGTCTGCTTGAAAAGACCAGAGAATGCTAAGCGCTGTATGTTTCGGTAGTTGTATCGCGTAATATCCACATGAGCAAGTCCACCGGAATTAAAGAAGTTTATGAATAAAAGATTGGATTTAAAGTTAAATGGTGGACAATCTGTTACGGATATATTGCGAGGTTTCGATCCTTTTTATGAATCTAGTTGTGGATAATGGAACAGAACGCAGAAAAGATGGGACCACTGCACCTGTTGGAATGGTGATTGTTTGTGGAAATTCGATATTGACGTTGAAGGCATTGGAACGGATACAATGATTTTGAATTGAACTATCGAAAACGACAAAAGAACCCGATCCCCAACCCATGATTTGTGCATAGACTGCTATGGGACATTCAATCTATTTACCGAGCTTGTTTTTTTAGAAACAATTTTTTGTCACTGTGTTATTTTTGCAATGGAATTGAACTAGATACTAGGCCTACAGCATCACCATTTTACGTCAGCGAGTGTTTTTTATTCCACTGTTATGGTATACATACACGTCTCACATTTTAAATTTAATTTAAAAGTATTGCCCGATTTTATATCGTGTTTTTAATCATTGTGTTTTGACTGTTTTGGTGGACGGGCACGTACTTGTACGTTTTTAACTTTTTTATTAAGTTATGCTCGTCCTCCAGGTCCTCTGTATTTTGTTTGTCCGTTTGTTGTTGTTTTGTGTTTTGTTTCGATCAGAGTGGCCAAATAAAAATGATTGATTGAACAATGTAGAAGTATTGATAGAGGCGAAGAATGGTTCCGGCAGGAGTAAATGAAAAAAGCTGTTTCTATACTCGTCAGATTCCCTTCCTGAACAAGAGTTTTCTGCTCTCATAAATTTTTTATATATATAATACGTATATTTTCTATACGTTGGATTTTCTTCATCGATTGAAAATATAAAACGAGTGGGGTGTAAGCGAAACATGTCGATAGCTGGTCATACAACATGATTCGAATTCTGCCTATAATAGCTTTCGGTATATTATGCATTTCAGTTTCAATGATTTATAGACTCCACGAATGTATACACCACGTGTGTGGTTTCTGTTCATTTTATGAGCACTGACTGTGATTTTTACCACTTTACTCTGTGTATTTTCACTGACATGTGTATGATGCAAGCACTTATTAGCAAAACGCTTGAAGTGCGATCGAAGAATATCTCACTTTTTCGCTAATAGACGAAATGGCGAGTCTCGACACGGGGCGCACACTGGACAGTTTATAAGATAACGACCGCATGAATCACATGCTATTTCTTGAATTTTACAAAGATTCAGCAGTCTAATTTGCTGTGAAAATTCCCACAATCACATCACGATGGACAGACATTCTCCGGCTAGATTGCGGGGACACGCTTATCAACGATGTGATAGAAGACTAGGCTTGATCGCTGTGATTGAATACTATATCGATGAAGGGTATTTCGTTATACAATTAATACAGGCGGAGGCGAACTTGGATGTTTCAACGCAAACAAAGTGATCCTTGATTGTCGGTAGACATTGACGGTAGTATATCAGCAACAGATAATTTTCAGAAACAAAGAAAACAGTGCAAAGTTCAAATATGGCCTGTTAGGTCAGTGGAAATGTTGTGTGAGAAAATTGAAAATTTGGCAAAAAAGAAACAATAATGTGAAATATGACCGATAAAAAGGAAAAGGCGAAGATATACGCATTTATTTATAGTTCATAAATGCTCTCTTTTTAACTTTCTCGACTTTGCCGAAGAAGATGGACAAATATCTTTGTTGAGACAATCTGAACATCTAGGGTTGATTGGAAGACAAATTTGTTGACCAAAACCAACAAGTAACCAATTCACTTCTCTCCAGTATGACCTGAGAAACCAAATTATAAATTCACAGCATAATAAAAAGCAGTGGGATAGACTAAATTCAGCATTAGCCCCAATAAATATATAGAATTCACTCGATTTGATGACTAATCACAGTCATGACTACTGCATGTTCAAGTCATGTAGTCAACTAGGATAGAATTCACTTAATTATCCTGAGGTAGAGGAAAGACAATAATAAGGGCTCAATTATATGGCAAACCACGACTCTTGTTTGGTTACCAGTAAGTGTCGGGTATGGGATTAGTTAGCCAGTTATTTGTTTCATATGCATTGACTTAATGGTGGCGGAGGAAGCCGTAACCGACCAGAAGCTATGTGAACCATCCTAATGTTTTTCAACGAAATGAAACCACAAATTAGTGTAGTATGACCCCCAGAAATACAATAACTTGGGTTTCGAACAGAATGTATTACAGGCATTGCCATACTTCACAATATCATTGGAAAATCAACTTACTGTGGAAGCCAATCCTCCAATTCTTTTCTAGTTTTTTCTGGTTCTGAAGTTTGTTTACGAACCCACTTGAGTCTGTTAGCAATACGATGAACATGAACATCAACACCTAAAAAATGAGCAGCAAAATTTATATCAGATAGTATTTGCTGGCAAAACAATTCATCTGTTCTATATATTAGGCCACCAGAATAATATGATTATAAACAGATATTTCTAACTTCTGAAGTCTATAAGGAAATAAATTGAATTGGCTGCCAAGTTTAAATATGATGGCTCACTTTATTCTATTATTATCTTGGTGACTCGTGCAAGCAGATCAGATTCTTATTTTGCAATTAGATCCTCCATTACTTCATTAATCAGACACATAAAGAAATAGGATTTCATATTTATCCTGGGGAATCTCGTCCGGTTTCCAGTCCGGTATAGAATTAGTTAACCAGTTATTTGTTTCAAATGCATGAACTTGAATGTAGAGGGCGCTGGGGCCGACCCGCCCAGCAATCCTCTCACACATAAATAGCCTACACAGGATTCCAACCTGTGATCACATGAAAAGAAATCAAAGACAAGCGTATTCATGATGCTATGCCAACGCGGATAATAACACATACCTATCCCAACCACTTTATTCCATGCACACGTCATTGTAAGATAAGCCATCTTCGGTCCAACTCCTGGCAATTTAACTAAGTCTTCTACTGAGTTGGGAATGTCACAATCATGTTCTTTTTTCAATACTTCTGCAGTTCTTTTCAGGTAAGATATTTTCTTCTGCAAAGACAATTTTTAACTTTGATGAACAACTTCTTATTTGCTATTAAATATGGGCTGCATTGCCTGCATATAGATAAAGTTTGCTAAATGCTTCAAGTGTTGTGTGAATGAATCAATTCAATTTCGATTGGAACTATAGCTAAGGAATAAGGAAGGTTTGAGAAACATGTGAAAGGAAATCTTAATGAAGGTTATCTTATTCACTTGTGGTCATAATGTTAGCTACAAACTTTGATATAAAGATTTGTTTACAAATATGACTATCCTGTTGCATCATCAGATAAACGAGCATGACTATGCAGGTGTCCAACATCATTTAGACACTTGGCTATATCATTTAGAAAATCCAACACAAAAAAACATTTATCACCTTCCAGAATCCTACTGGATATATAAGATCACCAAGTTTAGAATCTTGTATTTTTAAAACAGATTCAACAGATAAACCATGATCTATTAATCTCAGCATTGCAGCATGCGTCACATGATCTTTAGTTTGGCTTGACAACATCAATGATACGAGAAGATGAAACCTTTTATCCTGAAATGGAGTTTCGTACAAATTAATTGATGAATGGAGTATAGTATTTGAGTGAAGCCGATAAGTACAGATCAGTTTTCACATATTTTTGCAAAAATAATTTGTTACTGAATTCAAAGCATTTTATTAGATTCGTTCACACCAACATGAGAAGTAGACCGAACAAGACCAATTTATGGCTGGTAGGAAAATAAGGGTAACATCCCCAATATTTTTCCAATTTCATAGCATTGGTCAATCCTGGATTAGGAACACTCTGTGTTGGATCCTAGGGTTTGTTCGTTATCTCCTCCAACAACTACACGACTTTTACAGATACTAGGCTTTAAACCAGTACATAAACAATAAAGCACCAATAAAACACGACTCAGCAGATACATTACTGTTGCCAGTAATCAGATACAACAAAGTTGGGAATACCAAAATATGGAGTATAATTACACAAAATATGCAATGGAAGTTACCACACTTGGTACGATCACTTATTTAGCTATGTATCAGACCTTTTCTGAATAGTTCTCTCCTTTGCATTTTTCACATCCCATTGTGTCGATAGGTGCGTTTTTATCTTCTCTCATTTTTCTAATATTGTTCAATAACAACATCCAATTATTTGGTTCCCATTTGATACCAGGTTTAGGAAATTCGTCATTAAAGGATTCGATAACTTCTTGTTTGATCTCGATTTTTGTTTCTTTTTTTATTTTTCGTTTAGTTTGAACTTGGTCAGTATCAGAAGAACTGTCTTTTTTCATTTTCTTGGCTTGAGAAATTCCATTGCTTTTTGGAGTTACATTTGCAGTGGCAGAATTTGCAGGTACAGTCAATACTCGAAACCGAGTGAAGTACGGGCTTCTTGTACCACTCATAATAATGTTAGCTAGGAAGACAACTGTATTAATATAACATGTATACTGATCATAGATACAAGAGATAAACCGGTGCAAAATAGTTGTCTGATGTTACCAAAATCATAATCATAAATAGACATATTTTTATAATCTATAGCGGGGGTGGGCAACCATTTTTTGCTCGCGTGCCCAAATCGGCTAAATTTAACGGCAAAATTCTTCCGCGTGCCGACCAAAATTAAAAACAATGCTTTGTTACTTTTAAAACAAAAATACACAATAATAAACCTTTTAAACATGTAAGCTATAGACAGATTCACTATTGGGGAAATTACAATTTATTTCAGTAAGTTAGCAAGTAACTCTAACCAACATGAGCTGTACAACTTCATAAATCAATCAGTAATGAAGAAAATGGTGGCACAGTCGAACTATATATTACTTAACGATGAACCCCGCCCCACAATGAATGCTGTGTCTCGTCACAATTCATCAAGTGCTAACTCAGTTGTTATGTCATAATATATTTCTTTGTAGCCATATGTCATGAAAAGACAAAAATAGTTTAAAATTTTAAATGAATAACAGATTGTTAACAAACGATAATGAATAAACAAACACCGAGTTTCGTCAGTTAAATCAGAGCCTCGAAACTTTTTATCTGAAGTAGAATGATCTCGTTTCTGAGGCCTCGCTCGCATGCCAGGGGTTGCCCGCCCCTGATCTATAGGATTAGTAGAATCACTTATCAAATGCAGTAATAAACCGAGAATAACTTCAGAACTTGGTATAAAGCTGAAAACTTATAGTATAGTAAGTGCACGACCATAAAAAAACAATTAACAAAATGCAAACAGGACAGCATTATTTACAAATTAGAATTTGATGAACAAATCGTGCATTTTATTGTTCAATTTTGTTAAAGGAGATATTAATGATTGAAATTTGCAACATCTATATAGAGAAAGACTAATGCATTGCCAGAAACACCAATGATCTTCAGGATTGTAGGGTGTGAGGAATTTGGTGTAAATTTGCCTCAGTTACGGGGGTAGCTCCTTTGTTTTGTAGCTTGCAAGCCATTTGATCAAGTCTGCAAGTGAACGAGCGAAAACAAATGAGAGTAGGCCTGAAGAAATACCGGTACCGTCGTCTATTGTACCACATAGTGAAAATTTTCGTTAGGAACTCAAGAGGCAAGATAGGTACCGGTACGGTACCGGTACCGTACCAGTAGTCAAAATCAATTGGATCAATGCGGGTCGCTGCTTTTCCTTGCTTGAAAAATGAAACTTTCAGTATTATGTACAATTAATTGCAGGTGTACAAATAAAAGCCTAGTATAATATAAATTGAGAATATATGGAGTATGTTGAAAAGTTTTCAAAATAAACCCTAAACTAGCCAATACCTACTTTTCCATTCTCGACACCACGACGAGACTGGACGGACAATAACAATAATATAACCGGGGATTTCCCTTTCTTGAGAGCACGTGCTCGGCGTGCGGATTCCTTTGAATTATAGGAACGTCATAGAATGGACGGCCGTGGAATCAGACGCGCCACCAGATATCATGCTGGAATATTCTACTGATCTATCATAGATCTTATCTGGTTGGCTATTGCTGTATTGGATGATGTGATTGTGCGGTGATCGTTTCCGGTACAGCCGTACGGTACCGTACCTAGCTACCACGTTCAAGATTACAAATGCGAGTGTCTGAGTGTTGTGGATCTGTTGCTGAAGTGATAAGGACATCACCGATTTGTTTTTGACTATTGGGCAGTATGATTTATTTGTTAGTTACTGTGATAGGTTTGTTTTCGAAATGCAAAAATATATTGTTTGCTTTATATAGGGTTGCCAACCGTCCTTTATTTCAAAGGACAATCGTTTAATTAAGCTTTTCGGTCCTTGTCCTTTTTAGCATTTAGAAAAGATGCTAATTGTCCTTTATTCTTTCCTACGTCGTTTGGCCCGACAGTTATAGTACTGTGTTTGATATTGTTCCGTTCTTAAAAAATTGCCTTCATTTATGTATTTGCAAGCTTTAATTATACTTTTTAATTTCGCTTCGGTTCGGCTCAAATAGCCAAAGAAATAACAATTTTATTAACATTGTTTTGGTCAATGTTAAATAAATGAAAAACATGTGAAGATTGCTTTATTATATCTTTTTAGCATGTATATAATTTTTATTTCATTGTTTTATATTGTTCTTTCCTGCAAGTTACAAAATAAATGATGAAGGTAATCTATGTCCTTTATTGAAACTTTCCATAGTTGGCAACCCTAGTTTTATATTACTGTATTACAGTACCTACCATACCGGTACCCGTACCGTACAGCAGTAGTCCATTATTACCATTTCTGCATTTCAGAAAACTACCGTACTGTATTCATGGGTATATTTAGCATTTAAACAGCTGTGCGCTTGAGTATTTTAATACCAGTAATCATTCAAATAAAATCACATTCCGGATGATTGAACCAAAGAAAATTATAATTGTAAGTGGAAAACGAAAAAGTGGGAAAGATTATTTCAGTGACTTGCTCTCTTCAAAAATTGGTTTTGAACATTGTGATATTATCAGACTGTCATCTCCATTGAAAGAACAATATGCAAAAATTCATAATCTTGATTTTACAAGACTATTGGATTCATCATCATATAAAGAAAAATATCGAGATGACATGATCAAATGGGGCGAAAGTGAAAGAAACAAAGATTCTGAAGTATTTTGCAGGCTCGCAACACAAATTGCTTCTAAACCAATCTGGATTGTGACTGATGCTAGAAGACCATCAGATATTGAATATTTCCAAAAATATTACAGAGAAAAAACTATTTTATTAAGAATTTCATGTTCTGATACAACTCGTATAAATCGAGGTTGGAAATTTGTGAGTGGTATTGATGATGCACCATCTGAATGTGCACTTGATGGAATAGAATGGGATTTTGTAGTACATAATGATGACAATAATAATGACACTAATGTTCATGCTATTTCTAACAAGATTCAAAAATTATTACATGTGCTTTTATAATGTGGTATTTCAAACACTAATGATTACACTTTGCTATTGTTAAAAAATAACAACATGACATTATGTTCTTATAGTGGCCATCAACAATTGTGTTATTCCAGGAACATTCTGTCTTCATTTATGCTAACAGAAGGAACAAATATTGTTATATCCTAAACAAATTTTATTTTATATATACAATCATACAAGTACTGCCTTTCTAAACTAACCACTTATCTTAACACACAGTTTATGTAGTTCTAGTGAAATATGCAATTTGACCAATCAACTCGTATAAAGTGTAATATACAATACATATTATGAAAAAGAATGGAGAAAGTAGATGTAAGGACATTTTATTTAATTATGGATAATATTTTATTATTGACATGTTCCATGATACTATCTTTCAAAATGTAAAACAATCGTCGTTTTGGTCAATGTTACCGAATTAAATTTTTTTAGTGCATTCTTATCTAAAGTCTTCGTCAAAATGAATACGTCGAACACTTATTGCTTTGCTATGAAGTCATAGAGAGAAGCATAAAAATTACATCAAATTTGTTATTATTTTCAAATGTAAAAAATTAAACTTCATTATATTAAATAACTTAGATGTGGTTCAGCAAAATTTAAATGACGCTATTCAAGTTCAACCAGAGAATTATTCTCCTATTGTGAATGAATCACTCATGGAAAAACCATTTGATAACCAAAATTGCAGAGAAAAGAGAAAGAAGATATTAGTAGGTAATAGATGACAATTTCATTTATGTGTAAACATGAATAGAATGAAGTTCATAGAATGTCAAGTGTTAGCATTCTATGGTAAAAGCTTCGGCAATCCATATGCCCGAGTCGCCAGTGGGCTGGGCACCTTCATCAACAGCCCTATGACATTTTCGGTAGCCTTCCAGGTCCTTATTGGTTTACTATAAAAACGACATAAGTAATGTGTGACATGCAACGCATATATCTATCTAATGCTTGATAGTGAAATACAATTCATTTAACATATCTATGTTGATCTCGTAATCTACAAGAGGCTGTTTTTCACCATGCTCTATTTTGTTAGCTTTCCCTTTTCTTAGGATGAAATTGAAATCTAGTATAAGTTTATTTCTATCTTAATAACCAATGTAGATTGTTTTGAAAGATGATACACAATTCGGCTTATATAGTGTTTATATACCGGTAATTTTCATGAAGTTCAAGTGTATTATGTGTTTTACAGGTTGTATAATCGTAATATTATTGGCGATATCCTGGGTCGGTGCTCAGCAATTTGCTCAGAATGCCATTCAACTTGCAAGTTTCGATGCACCATATTTTATGACGTGGTTTGGAACTTCATGGATGACTTTATGCTTTCCAATTTATTGTATATGTATTGCACTGAAATACAGAAATCGTCAAAAGATAATTGAAGTAATAAAGTAAGATTTTCAGGTTATAAGTTCATTATAAATTTTATTCAGCCTGACATATTTAAATTTTGTTTTGATGAAGTTATGAGCAAACATGGAATTAAACACTAACATTATGCTTTCAAATACCAGTATTTGAATGAAGTTGCCTTGTTTTTAATAACGATTTCAAAAACTTATTATGCTCATTTATTGTGAGTATGTAGATAGCTAATAGGAAATCAACTTGCAAAACCAATAAAAATTTGTTAAACAGGATTTCCTCATGCTATTTTGTAGCTTCTTGTTAAATTAAAATATGCTTATTAATCACTTCAATATTTGTGCAGCCTGAGAATGAAAATTGTGTCTAAAATCAAGAAATTTTTAAATCAAACATTTGTAATTGCCTCTACAACATCTATAATTTCTTTTTCAGAGAATCAGAAAAAGTACTCGAAACATCCAAAATCACAACTAAACAATTTTTTCTAAGAATTGTTCCAATGAATATATTATGGGTTGCAACAAATTATTTATACATGATTGCTTTAAAGTTTATTGCAGCAACTGATGCTTCTGCTATTTTTGCTTCAAATGTTGCTTTTGTTTATCTGTTGTCTCTGTGCATACTCAAAGAGAAATTGTATGTGATCAGGGTAAGTATATTATTTTGTAATTCTGAACCCGCATGTGCCGCTACTTTAAAGTAATCTTGCATATAAGCCGACCCCTTAAAAACGATGCATTTGTAAATATTCGCATATATTAATGCGCAGATATACAGTAGATGAGATGAGATAATATTTTTCTTCAAAAACTGTATGATTTTTACTAGCTTTCTTTTATTTTTACTATCTTGGTAGTTGGAATTTTGATGTTGTCCACCCACACAATATTTATTTCCACTTTCTCATTAGAGAATTGAGATATGAACTATAGTTAAGATAACTACAGTACTATCTTTTCTGCAGATTTTGGCGTGCATTTTCTGTATTTCTGGTGTTGTGCTGTTCGGATATGCAGCAGGATTTGCTGGAGGTTCAAATTTATTAATTGGTGCCTTGATGGCCATTGCAACAGCTCTCGGAGCAGCTCTTTATAAGGTAGAAAACTTTTGAGATAACAATTTAGTACAATGTGCCAATTATCTTCACACAGATTTTTCAATTGAGAGAAATTTTTCCCAACATGTTCAATAATGTACAGTTCCAGTCATTATTGCCCAATCATTTCTGTGTCTTTGTATGGATTTTTTATATTGTAGAATTTTTTGTTTTTATTTTTTTGTTGTTACGTTGCTGCTTGAACGCTATAGCTTGTAGACCAGGGGTCGGCAGACTATGGCCCGTGGGCCAGATGCCGCCCGCGAAACAATATAATCCGGCCCGTGAAATGCCGCCCGCGAAACAATATAATCCGGCCCGCGACGCTTCACTGAATTATATTAACAAAACAACTGTATTGGTGATTATATTCTTTAGGTAACAGAATTTGTTTAGAGACGGTAAATTATATTATAACCTGACAATTATATAATTCACAATCACTCGTTTAATGAGCCTATAAATTGATTATAATCAGACAAATGGCAACAGTATGTAAAAAAGTTGATGCTGAGTGCAAATGCTTTAATGGCGCAAAAAATATTCAAATGATCAGTCTTTGCACGCTGCTTGAAATTTAACTGAAATCTGTGTGAAAAAATGTGATTCATTGGCCATTCCTTCGGTTTTTAACTTTCTAAAAATATGTGCGGCCCGCCAATGACTTACAACCTTTAATTTTGGCCCGCGAACGACAAAAGTTTGCCGACCCCTGTTATAGACCAATATGGTGCTTTTTCTTTGGTTGAAACTGGTAGTGACTGAAAAAATAATATTGATAACATGTATTTTTAGGTCATTTTCAAAGTTTGGGTTGGTGCTGCAACTCTGGGACAAGTCTCACTTTTTCTCACATTTCTCGGAATCAGTAATATTTTTCTTATGTGGACAATATTTATCACTTTATATTTCACCAATGTTGAACATTTCACGGGAGATAACATTCCTTGGAATCCTTTGATCGCATCTTCGTTTTTAGGATTAGGTTAGTAAATTTTTAAAAGATATATTATCTTAAGTTACAATACTTTAATGCAATGTGATAACAGCTTCAAGTGTGAATTTTAGCATAAAATATAAATTTATGTTCTTTATTCACTAATTAATTAATTTAACATAATGTTTTGCTCTTCATTCAGTTTTCAACTATGTTTTAAGTTTTGGAGTTGCCTATACTTATCCTCTCTTCATATCAATTGCTTTGATGCTTGGAGTTCCGCTAAATGCAGGTAAAGTTAGTATAGGATTTTCCGAAGGAGAGAAAAAGGGGTTAAGATGACTTACCAGTCACAGCCTCTCCCGTCTGGTTATCAGTCTATGTCAGGTATGAGATTAGTTATTTTTTAATGCATGGACTTGATGGTGGAGGAAGCGGTAAACGACCAGCGGTTATGTTTACCACCCGACAGCAGCGAGTAGTCCAGCAATCCTCCTGAACATGATTATCCCCCATGAGCTTCAAACCTGCAGGCTAATCAGAGTTGCGGTGCCAAGAATATTCCTAACGCTTTGCACGATGTGCCAACTTGCAGCCGCCGAGCAGTTACTGATCAGCGGTGAGGTGAAATGTAAGTATTCCAGTACCCCTCGGCCACATAAATATTTGTCACTAGGCTAGGAATGTACTTCCTGAAATTTTATCGCAGACTTAAGGAATTTTTCTAACGGTGATATCTTAAAAATAACCATTGGCGCAGATTTGTCAAATTCGAATCAAATCAAGATATAATCGAGCACTTTGGCACACATTTTTATGTTCGCGGATTGACGTGGTAATTTGTGTAGTAATGCTACCGCATGTTAAATTAAGCACAATTAAATTAATAAACCTAGACGGTTTGAATATGCCCGTATCGGTCATGGACTGACTTTTGCTAGGACTGTTTCAAAAGCCGTTCCGCGAAAATTTCGGGACGATGAAGATGTATTTTCGATATACAAATGTACTTTATATTGCAGATGTTTTTTTAACGGCCATAACGAATTCACTGGGACGCAAAAATACCTATCTAAATTAACTATATTCGGGCAATTCAAAGCACATTATTATTTTCACAGATTGGCGTAATATCTTAGTGATGTTTATGTTTTGTCGTAAGTCGGCGCAACCACGAGTTATGTTAAAATCAATTAAATTTATATAAAAAGACATTTTAAAATCATGCAGGATGGATATTTTACGCGGCGGAAAAGTCATTGAACGTTAAAAATGCCGGCTCTTTTAACGAACGCGTAATCGCGGCTACCTTTTCAGAATCTGTGGCATGAGAGTTTCCGAGTCCGATTATCGGTGTTCCAAAAAGTATGAAAAACAAGCGGGTTACTTCGAAGTTAAACGAAAAGCAATGTTCATTTTAATCGTTTTTTTTGCAATAAATAGCTGCTTATAATAAATACATACATGCGGTTTAACATGCTAATCCAGGCAAACAACCTAGTTTAATTTTATTTACAGTTGTAGATGTTGCTGTTAGAGGAGTCACGTTTAATGCCACACGTGTTCTTGCTGCTTCTCTGGTGTTACTTGGATTTGCCATCATGCTGTTACCTGATCATTTCAACAATCCAATCCATGATGTGTTTTTGTGCAAGTTCCCAAGAAAAAGGAATGTTAGCAAAAATAATATACCAAAGAATTCTGATGAAGTTGATTCACAGAATAAACCCCTTATTGACAATGATACTTGATATATACGTATATATGTTGATAGCAGTTCTGATCCTAAAAACAACTTATGATCAAGTATGATCGCTCATCTGTCACATTAATCGGCGGATGTTTCTTTTGGAATCTCTTCATTAGTACTTAAATTCAAAGTGCAATATTCATTCTACGTTCCATTGATTGAGATTGATCCATTGAGATCTTTACCAGTTTTATGAAAATTATATACATGTTTATATTGATGAACGATTTTACATTTTTATATATTGCAATCAGAGCCATTCATGCGCTAGTGTTTTTTCTTTATAAATCATGTATTAAATGAATGAATTCAAATACAAGTGTTTTTTATCTTAAGCATTTATATTGATAATGAGTACTGTGAGATTTCTTTTCTTGAGTAAAGCCAGTATGCTAATATAAAGCATAAGAATCCACTCAAATTCATTTCGACACTTATACAGTGGACAGGAACAACTTTATTCTGGTTGTTTGTGAAAAGTTTTAACCGTTGGTCTCTTTAGGTGAGACTTTGATTGTCCACAATCTACATTATCTCACGGAAGGCAGAAAATATAAAGAAGATATAAGCATGAATGTCTCAAAATGTCGTGTCGCAACTGTTTAACACTTGCCTTCTGCGATTTGCCCCGCACTTTGTCCCCTGTGCTGTTTATTCCACTCGTAAGTGTTGTGTGACACGCGAGGACAAGTGTGCGACGCGACATTTTAGAGACGTCCTAGCTAAGGCATGCACAAAATCACAGCACTACCGTTTCACTAGTCACCACTCATCACCGACAAAGAAATGGCATACCGTTACAATACTTGTTCACTGGTAAAGCGATCGGTTTCGTAAACTAATAATCGGTAGTGAAATAGAAATAAATTTATCAGAAGATATGCCAAGCTATTTATGATGGAGTCTTCTAATGCCAAATTCGTAGGCTAGACCTCTTCACTCGCCGAATTATAGTCCAAATTGTTACTTATCGATCTTAAGATAGGTAAGTGTGTTGATAGGTATTTTTACTTATCGATCTTAAGATCGGTGAGTATGTTGATAGGTGTTTGTCTGTCTGTTAGATGCACGCGATATCTCACGAAAGCGGGGTTGAATCTGCTCCAAATTGCTTGTGTATTCATCATAGCTCGGACCAGAAGCCTATTGATTTTGGATGAATTACGTCGTATAATTAGCGAGGTATTAATTAATTAGTGATGGGACACGCGGTGTCATTATAGAGTCAGAGTGAATGAATGGAGGATCCCCTAACTTTCGATCGATAAGTCTTCGGTCTCCGAGCGATATCCTCGCACTAGTTATAAGTCGAAGTGGGCGAAAACGCCCCCCAGACTCCCCAAGAAGTAAACGGTTCTTAGAGTAAAATCCTGCAAATAATATCTAAGCTTACCCAGGATCCCTACAGTTCTTGATAGTTTTCGATGCGATTCAGTAGTGTGGGTTTTCCGAGTCTCGCGAAAGATGTTATAGTAGTAAAGAATGATATTGGAAGATACATTTTCAAAATTTATTAAACCTATCTTTCCGGCGAGACGAAATCAATTAATAAACTATTCATCATCCTTTTAAACGCGGAATCGACACAGTCTGGGTTTAGTATTGAGGCGATTTTCCTTATTTTAGTTCGATTACGAGTTCGGGCACTGTCTGTGTTAGCCAAGTGAATATACCCCTGCCCATAGGTTTCGGTCCCATTACACAACTTGATGTAAAGTAGGCGAAAAAAATTAGTTACCTCCGTATTGGTACACACACTTCTGGAGCGCCGTTGAATTAAATTAATATTGGAGTTTATTAGAATTCTTTGTTTTGCAGAAATCATAAGGTTAATTATCATTTCTAATTTGAATAATGAATGTTTTGATCGATGTTTCTAGAAAACGTAAATATATTTTGTGATTTACGTCCTTGGCGACGCTGCAAGTTGATTTAAAACTATATATACTTTATATATCTCCATGCCAAGAATTACAGTTCCACCCGAAAAATTATTCATTCCATAGCTTATATTCCATGCTTAATAAATTTTACGATAAACAGTATTCATGTGAAATTCCTTCTGACACAATTATACATAATAGTTTTAGCACAACACTCTCACAAATAGCTTGAGCACTGAACCATTTACGATGCCAGCATCATTTATGGTCTCTGCATCATTCAAAACGGTATCATCAAAAACTAATATGTGGTTCACGGTAGATATTCCTTCTTGGTTCAAAATTTCAGTCTTCAATTCTGCAATTGTGTCTGATGGTGTAACAATAAGTTGGAACGTCGATTTAGTAAAGTAGTCCACCGTGATCTGTGAAAATATAACACTGCTTAAATTTTTATATTATTTCCGGAATAAAAGGAACTCGACAAGAGTGAATATTCATATGAGAAATTGAACCCTGGTTTAAGTTGGGTATTCTATGAATAGCAGAGGCGTATTTACCAGGAGGCAAGGGAGGCTGAAGCATGAGGGTCCTCGACATTCAACTTTGAACTTAATTCAGTTTTAAGTCGTTTCTGAATTGTAAAAGATTGTTCCAGAATAAAGCCGGTGTGAAACGTTAAAAAACTGGTATTTGCTTAATTTTGTAATTAGGTTGATATCATTTTTACCCGATTATTTCAAAAAATGAAATGATATTTTTATAAATTACTGATGTTTTATTTAACAGTAATTGGGCCCCCCTCTGTCCGCGATCATTAAACGGGTATTGCTTTCTGGTGACATGATATTTTTTTTTATAGCCCTAATTTTTCTCAGTGTTTTTAAATTCGACTTTGTATCAAATATACTCTGATGATTAGCGTAATATCTGTCATAAAATTTCGCATTTCTCGAAATTTCAAATTTAGTTTATGACGACATATATATATACATAACAACCCCCCCCCCCCCCCAAAAAAAAGCCTATTATGAGGCCACAATTTTTATGTCGTCATTGTTGAAGAGGGGCCTCACAAATAGCAAAGCCTAGGGCAGGTATGACGAACCACTGATCTACGGGTCACAAAAAGGACCCACCGACTGTACCTGTGTAGCCAATTAGTTCTTATGTAACTACAAAACTACACCAAATTGGCTATTATCTCAATAAGGGTAATTATGTACATCGTACGGATGGGAACTTGGATATAATTATTTCACTCAGTGCCAAAGGTTTTGAGAATAAAAAATTTTAATTTGATAATGACTGGGTGGAACATGTTATGTTTCTTAAACTGGTGTAATTTGTTTGCTACGAAAGTTTTCGAATTTTGGGGAAAATTAACTTTGTTTTGATGATTTCAACATGAAATGGGGTACATTTGGGGGTTAGTTGCTATACCTGTATCGTTCCGGATAATCGTAGGATTAAATGCAAGATTGCTCCGTTTTGAATTCCATAATCGTCCAATGTTCTTCCATCCTCAAGCTGTTTACCCGCATATATAAATCTTTGTTGGTGAACTGGAGTACCTTCTTTCTCCAAAATCTGCTGTTTCAAAGATTCTATTGTGTCAGTTCCATCCACTTCTAAAGTGATGGTTTTACCTGTGAGAGTCCTAACGAACACCTGATATCCCAAAACTGTCGCAAACGTGCCATAAGACATAAACGCAAATAAAAATAATCTCATTGTTCCTGCTGATTTTAAGGTTTAAAATATACGAACTGCATTTACACAAAAGTTCCAGAATGTTTTTTTTTAGCTTCCTCTTATACACCTGTATATGGGCCCACACATGCGTGATTAACAGCGAGATAGCACTCTTGGTTCATTCATTATTCGTACCGGATTAGGATATGATTAAGTGAACGGATTTAGCCTACATTGAGGAAAATGACTTCATCTGATGGCAATTCCGGTAAATAAATCAGGGCTAGTGATAAGACATTCTCGATATCGATTCATAGTTTATCCCACACAGCAAAATATTGTGTGTTGTCAAATCATTAGCCCATAAACCATAATACAGCAAGAGAACGCCAAAGATATCTTATATTCAATTTAGACTGAAGGTAAAATGATGATCGAATAAATATCCTAGACAACTAATGATCAAATATGACAATCGGTGAATAATGAAACGGAATCGCATAAAACAGCGGCGTATCGGCATAAATGACGCTCATGGCAAAGTTAAAAAAATGCGCCCCTACTTTGATAGTTTCTTTTTCCTGTTCAAATTAAATTGTATTTCCTTAATTACGAAATATAATAACGTAACAAGCCATTTTATATAGACAATAAACAAGCAACAAAAAATTTGAATGGCAGAATTTGCAAAGTCATCCGGAGAATGGGAAATATATTTTCATCTTCATATTCGACTATGAATGTAAGAATACCTGCAGGCCACAATAACCGCTAATTACACGATTATTTTTAGATAAAAAAAAGGTCTAGGACTGTTCTGAAAATATTTTGAACCAAGCTTGGTCATTTTTGCTCTCATTTTATTTGAAAAAATATGTTATCCAGTATTTTTTATCAAAGTTCATATGTCCAACACCGCGTTTTAAAATGAAGTCGAGTACATCGGATTCAAGTTCTTCGTTCATGTTCGAAACTTTTTCAATGTCTTTCTCGGATTAGCCATTTTCTTCACTTGTTTAAATTCGCCAACTGCTCCAGATTCATGCTCAAATTGATAATTGTTATGAGAATTAAGTTCAGTTATTCATGTTGCAGTGTGCTACACTTTGTGATCCTTTGTTTATATCCCGTCATTATTACTTATCGATTTTAATCGGTAAGTATGTTGATAGGTATTTGTCTGTCTGTCTGTCTGTTAGATGCACGCGATATCTCACGGAAGCAAGATTGAATCTGCTCCAGATTTTGCATGTGCATTCATCACATGTCGGGCCAGAAGCATATTGATTTTGGGCATTGATTGATTATGTCGTATTATTAGCGAGTTATTAATTAATTAGTGATGGGACACAAGGTGGCACTATGAAGTAAGAGCGCTGTTTTGGGGATCCCCTAACTTTCGATCGATAAGTCTTCGGTCTCTGACCGATATTCTTGTTATTACATTATTGTTCTTTGTGCAATCACTTTGCACTTTTGAGTTGAAATAATTTTATTGAAACATTTTACAATTAAAATTTTCGCCTCTTTCGTGTCCTTGTCCAAAGAGCGCCCATGGCACGAGCTGTGGCTGCCACACCCCGATATACGCCACTATCCACAAAACTGCCTATTCACGGTCTGCCTAATTGACAAATTTCGAGTACTCAAAAGATTGACAGATCATCAAGTTATAATCGACAATACGTGATCATGCTGAAGCGGTATTTTTCTAAATGATTTATCTAACACTTATGAGTTATTTAAAAGACATTCAGTGTCGAGTTATTTTACGAGCTTGTCAATCAATGTTACCGAGTATTCCGAGAAAACAAACAACAGGACAAAGTGCAATATAAAAACGAGATAGCGATCGGGGACCTAATTGATAACTCGCTAATTATACTACATAATTCATCCAAAATCAATAGGCTTCTGGTCCGAGATATGATGAATGCACATGAAACATTTGGGGCAGATTCAACCTCGCTTTCGTGAGATATCGCGTAACACACGAAAGTGTCCAACAGACAGACAAACAAACAGACCGATCAAGATCGATAAGTAACAATTATCTCAAATTTGGCATTGCTTTGAGCCACATTGCCATATGTAAAAGTAAACATATATTTCATGAAGATATGTATAAAGTCAGTGATAGTTTTGCTTAAAAAATAAAATACAACATTCAGAAATTTGAATTTTTCTATTTCTAATGTTATATTTTCCCAAACGAGAAAGTTTGTTATATTAGATAACTTCGCATGTGTTTTTTAGTCTTCAAGTCCTCATACTGACACTGGAGAAAACTATACTCCGCTACAATGTATCAAATGATGCTTGTAATTGAACGAATGTATTTATATTATATATTTACTTCAATTACTAGAAATGTGTAATTAATCTATTTTTGTCAGATTGCCTGTCACGCCCCGACAGCACGAAAAACGTTACTGTGATCAGCGGGTGCATTTGACTTTGAATTAACGCGCTTTACATGAATATTCGACACGAAAGAAAAATTTAGGAGATACGTAATAGATTGCGATGAAGTTCATAAACTTGTTATATAGTATCAGACGTGAATATGCGTAAGATCCATGCTACGACTGACTTTCGATTGTGACATGTCGTTTTAATAACTAATGCCTAATTGTCATAAAAAGTATTCGAAGAAGTATCTTAGATGGTTCCATTACATTTGAACCCACGTACATTTGAACCCACGACAATTGCACCTGCATACTATTGCACCTATGGAATTTTTTTTTTTTTATTGATATTTGAACCCATACTAACCCTAAACCATGGGTTTTAGCACCCGCATATAGATTGGCCCGCGGATATACACATGGGTTCAAATATACGTGGGTTCAAATGTACGGTCACCATCTTAGATGCATCAATCATTTCGAGGATGTCTTCGCGTGACGTCATAATCATATATCCAAAGAGCATTGATCTAATAAAATGCCTTATCTGCGAGTCGTATGTGTCACTTCGAGCTGAATAGCGATTTGTGATATGGAGTAATATTGCAATCTCTGTTTCAACCAGTTGTATCCGGTATTTTCCGCTGAGAAATTTGTATTGGAGAAGCTAATGAACTGCGACAAATCGTCTTGGAGGTGTCAGAACAGACTGAATTTTGCTTGCAAAGAGGTTTCATCAATAACCTATTTCGAAACGCGCCCACCCCACACCCACTTGTAATAAGGATATACATGCCTAAGAATACAAAATGTCATGTCACTAAAGTTCAGTACATACACTAATTGAATAAATAAATAGAAGTAAATAAAATATGGTTTTCTACACTAAACTAACTAATGTGGAACGTTATAAAATTATGTATCCTCGATTGGCTACTTTTTACAATCAACATACATTCAACAGTAGCAACAAAAACAAAACGGAACAGACAGCAATGCCGTTGCATCCCCCTTTTCCCTGCGATAAATAATCAATACAGTCGTCACTTTCTGACGCAAAAATCGCAATGTCATTGTTGGTTCGTTTCAGAAATACACAAATTACCAGCGAACCTTAGTACTGTGAAACTCAAGTAATACTCATAGGCATATATATATATATTAAACCCCAATGTCACGACCACACAAGGCCAAAAGAATGGTATTGCATGAAAAATTGAAATGAATAAGTGTTTCCTGACCTATGGGTTGCGACCCCAAACTGGGTCGCCTGCAAATTTTTAGGTCGCTTGTTTTTTCTACAAAAACCTAATAGTTACTGACATTATTTTGTAGTAAATTTTATTGTTTATTTTGTATTTTGTATTGAAGTGTTGCTCAATAGTAATTGAATATGTGGGCAGCTAAGTAACGCCACGCCGCCATTTCGGAATCTCGCTGATAGCAAACAAGCACTGCCTTTTCACTTTGAGTAATTTTTTACGGGAATAAACGTTATGTAAAAATGATTATTTTATATTAGTCATTAGGTTTGCGGCCATGTACTACATGCCGTTTAGTATTTGATCATGTCCTTGGGTCGCGAGATTTTACAAAATTTATTGTCAAAAATATGTGGCCCTCGAAAAAAAAGCAGTGACCACTGAAATAGATCATATATTACTGTCTTTGTCATATAAATGTCGTTTCAAACTATTATGACCTGTAGTAACTCTGTGTCTACTTGAGTTTCCTATAGTATCAAACTGGCCTATTTTCATGATATGCGTGATGAGCAATCATGTTATTGGCCTCGTCAAAACATCATTTTTCGAAATCAATTGCTGGTTCCCACCAGTTTTGCTCCGGTTAGAGCCGGCTGCGTATATCAATCACGGACCGTCTCGTTTCACAATCACGAATCGCATACCCTCGCGAAAGATTGAAATAGGCCTGTCGGTTGTAGCGATAGTCAGTATCAACTGTAGTCAGCTGAAGAACTTAGGTGTGCAGTTCGTTATAAAAATTGACAAAAGAGTAAAATGAGAGTACTTTTATGCATAAAAAACGGGGTAAATGACGATTTCGTTGTGAACTATTACACGAGACTACTGCATAGAGCCGGAGATGAAGTCGTTTTACTACACGTAGCTGATCCAATCAGACTCCCGGCTTACGTTCATGCGGGAGGTGTTGGATATATTCCTGGCAAAGCTGAGAAGTATTTGTCAGATCGGAAGACCAAACACGATGAATTAAAGAAGAAGTACGAAACAATGTGCTTGGAGTTCGGAATAAGCCACAAATTTGTAATTCACGATGATAAAAACGGCGTTGGCGAGACAATTGTATCCATGGCAAATAAATCCGACGTGAATTTAATCATTATGGGGTCTAGGGGTTTAGGAATTATCGGAAGAATCATTTTAGGGTCTGTGGACGACTATGTCAAGCAGCACTGCAAGATACCGACCCTGATCTGCCCCTCATTCAGCGCCTGACTATATCGATCACAAATATCAACAGAATTTTATGTCAACAATGCGATGGAACTTAAAAACTTTGGATTATGTCAATTTAAATCAAGTATGGGCCATAGATAGATCTTGCAGTTTATCTATGGCCCATGCTTGATATATTACATGCTCTCAGTCTCATTTCATTTTTTGCGTTTGTCGAAAATCTCATGCATAAATTTGTTAAATGTGCATTTTTTGTTTCTTATT